CTTCCTGTTCCGAGGAAAATAATCCAAAATCATCATCACGATCACCTTTAACAGCAAAATCCCTCATTGTCAGGGAAGTAAACCCAGTTCGCTGCTTTCTTCTTTGTCTTCGATGCCACCAACCACTATGGCGATACCAGGCACATGGAGATTTAGTTCTTTGTCATTGTGTATGTTGTATGTGGACAAGAGAAGTAGCGAGTGTCATTCTTGGCGTCAGCTTTAACGGACAAATAAAGTTATGTTACTTAAACGTTAAATATTTATATGTTAAAAGTGATAACGTATCCTTATTTATCATGAAATTGTAATATTGTGTGCTTCTTATGTAATTGAGCAGGTTTTCACACTAGACGGACAACACAGCTATATAATGCAGTTTAAGCGTGACAGAATATATTTGATATGTCCTATCCATCTGTGTGTCTTTGGTACAATCTCTCGATAACGATTTCTCCAGAGAAAGGGTGCATGGGAAATAAAGTGCCGCAAACTGCTGTTATTTTCAGTGGGGATATAAAATATTGAACCAACAGTATATTGTGTCCTATCAAGATGTAAACAATTAAGAATTACTCGACTTGTACTTGTGGAGTCGTAACATATACAATAATGAGATTGTAAACATGATAAATCGCAAATGAACACATTCCGATTGTTTGTGTCATGGTTCCATGACGGATAAAAAGATGATTAAATATAATCTTTGAAATAATTTCCTTGCTTCACGCCATGTATAAGTCAAAATAATAATTATAAGAACCATGTCGATATTCAATTTATATCAGACGAGATAAATATATTGTATATTGCGTATGTTATTTTTCAAATGTTATAAAATGAATGGCTTACTTTTTGAAAAAATGGAAAATAACTAACACGAGTGAACGAAATACCATACAACAGCCACGGGTTTGTGTTACCTGTTTCTACCACCATAAAAAAAACTATTACGAGGATGCATTGTCTTACGGCATCTTTTGGGGCGTTATGATATGATCTGTAGTGAAATGTTGCTAATTAATATGCGATGCTGACAGATTCAGAAAAAAATGTGAAAGGTTTAAAATTAAGTAAGAATTTGATTTATAGAAATCCATATCAAAATGAAATCATTCCAATAACATTCGTGAACTACTTATTGCGCGTGATACTGTTCACGGGTGAAGTACACTTTCGGTTTAAGCTCTCAACCAATCAAAAAGCGGAAGGTTATATACACGTACCACCGCTTAAATAACCAGTTGAATAAATAAATAAAGATACGTTTAGACAATGATCTGAGAGTGAAATAATACAAGTGTTGCGATAAAGATATGTGTAGTACATAAATTCCATATGATTATGGAATAAAGTAATTATCCAAACTAAGTTATAAATGGTTATAAATAGTTATCAGCAGATGAACACGACAATTTATGTTAGTTAACATATGACAAATCAAATAACTTTATTAAACTATTTATTTTACTGTCAGTTTTCGTCCTGAAAGATGTATAACCTTTGAATGTCCCATGAGGTCATGCTGAAGAGGCAGGATAGGTAGACAGAAATTGTTTATGTAGCATAGTGACTCAAATGATATACAGAAAGAGAAATAACAAGAATCATGTCAATTTACCGGAAAAGTTCCCAGAGAAACCATTCAAAAAGTTCGAAATTTTCTATCTTTCGCTGGGCACCTGAAACTCTGAGTACTGGATGACCCCACGAGTCCCATTCCAGGATTCTAGGTCTATACGTAGAATCCTCGAAGTATCTGTCAAAAAGTGAAGGATGTAGTTGCCTTGAATAGGAAAAAAAACCGTTGAATAAGTCGAGAGACTCTTGTCCAATCTTATAATACTATATCAAGTGCATGCCGGGTGTCGACAAGTTGAGATATAAGCAAAGCAAATATGCAGGTTCTTTATCACATACAATGATAATGACAGTGTTGTCAAATATTCGAGACAATATTCCACTTTATCAAAACACAAAATATTGCATAAGTTACATCACATACTCTGAACAAAAAACCAAAACAAAGCTACAAACCGTAAAATGTCCCCGATTATGCATTCGGCAGGTTCCCTCAGCATCTTTATATGGAAAGACAAACCATCTGGGAATGATGTTTGAAACGTGGTGAATCAAGTAACTACTCGCAGGTGAATTTAAGATCGGTGTATGTGGTAGCCACTGAGCACAAATGTGCAAAATTAACTTTTAAGTCTTGCATCATGTACCTAATTAGACAATGGTCTGAGAGTGGCATAACACAATGTGTTGTGGTAGAGATCTTGGTAGTGAATAACATTTCAAACATTTCAAAACGCGGAACAAAAAAAAAAAAAAAAAAAACTCAAAACTTGCAATATCATAATTGCAACGGGGAAATACAATAATTCTCTTACTAATCAACATTATACTACCATAAGCTCTGAGCCCCTAAATTGTAAAACTACCAACGTTGTTTATGGTATTGAATGTGTACTGTGTGGTTTAGGATATATGTTGGTGAAACAAACGGGCAGTTTCGACAACGTATGAAGTGCTATTGTTCAGCAGTGAACCATGGAGAATCAATGTTTGTATCACCATTTCAACCTCCGGATCATTCTATACCGTCGATTAGTGTCCGTATTTTGGAAAACATTACCACCTTACAAATGACCCATTACTGAACGCACATTGCTATAGACAAAGTAAGGAACACTATCTTAGACTGTTTGGCATTGCTGCGCCATATGGCTGCCATGACCACGTGGACTCGGTAGGAAGTTTGTCCAGTCCTGGATGCAGTAACACTAACGTTATGGATTTATATACTCATCAAACTAGACGTAATCGCAGCCATGGACAGAAGCACTAAGGTAAATCTAGCGGATATACCGTCACGTTTGAGAATCTGATGGATATTTTACAGAAACCATCAGGCGTCCGTCATGTTAGAAATACGATATATTTGCTTCCTGTCTCCATGCTACGAAAACGTCAAATGAATTCAGCTAATACTGTTTCTGGAGACCTATGGAAATACCTTAGAGACCTCATAAAACTATTGATGATGTGGCACAAATCAGGCTTATGAAAGTTGACTTTGTAAATAAGGGAGTAAATGCTATAATCATCAGCAATATTTTACACCAGAAGTCTGTTCAAGATAACATACCTTTAAAGCAGAAACAACCGTGTAATTTCCTAAATTTACTCCAAGCCCATTGCATCCAAACGTTTCAACTACAAAACAAAAGCTGCAGCAACTGAGTGTATATGACCTTAAAATTAGTCCTCCGTCAGCTCTGCTTTAAAGTATGGTCAAACTGAGCACATAGTAATTGGTGATTTAAACATGATTCATTATGTAAAGCCTCGAGAGCTTTTTCATGAAGGGTCCTAAATATCGTGAAACCCCGTTCGTTAATTGGATTATGGATTTCAAGATACATATAGATTCTGTTAAAAAAAATATGCAATAGAATGGATGAAACGAGAACAGTCTGCGTAGAATTCAGTTTATGAATGGGTTAAGTATATTCGGAATTTGCATCTTGAAATCTAACATGAAAACTAAACACATGTCAGCTCTCCTCAATTCTGACGTCAATTCTACAAATTTACATGACAGGTTTGTAATTGCGCCTGCAGATAAGGCGCCCAGTAACTTGTCTTCAAACATCTTTACACTTCCTGTATACAAAGGACTGGGCATGCTTGATAACGACATTTTGCAATCTTTCAAACGGCGAAATACTGGCTAATTATGCTTCAGTATTACAACTATTCAAATTGCCTAAATATACCGATGTTAGATTCCTGAACTGCACAAAAATCCATAGAAGCAGCATTTTATTGTTGGCTCGTCTAGTTGTTCAAAACCACAAACCACCATTATAAGTACATTCAAATCTGGGTTACAGTCTTATTGTGAAAATGTTTACTCAATAAGTGGAGTTTATAGTATGTGGAGTTTAGAGCTTTTGATCAATCTTCAACGATCTCTTCAAATATTTGTATAAGAAAATTATTTTCCAACCTGTACATCACCTTGCCCTATTCTGAACTGAAAGAACGCCTTCGTTTTCTTGTTATGAGAGCTTGCTTTTGTAAGAAAGGTGAACGGCGGTATAAATATATGGTTGTGAAATATATTGAAGCGTATTTCGTATAAACTATACATCCAAATTAAAGAAGAAATATACGAAGGACGAAATCATAAAACAGATCGTGTTTCTAGTTGACAACGTCTTCGTCAGGTTCGGTAGTAAGGTCTTCCAACTAACTATTGGCATACCTATAGGAACTAACTGAGCCCCTCTGTTGGCTGACTTGAATTTGTTTTCATATGAGGCTTAATTTATTGAAGAACTTATCAAAACAGGTCACAAAGACTTTGCAAAGTCGTTTAATTTTCCTTTCAGATATATTGTTGACGTCTTGTCTTTAAATAACAAGAAATTTATTGACCACGTCCATCGTATGAACCCATCATGTTTTGAAATAAAAGACACGACAGACTCTTCTATATTAGCTGCTCATCTCAATTTTTTCCTACAACGAAACCGACATTTTCCCTTTGTGAATTTTCCATATTTCCCCTGCATCCCTAACCTATGATGTTAACATGTCGCAGTTGATTTGATATTGAAGGACCTGTTCCCATTATCACGATTCGTACAAAACTAGCGATACTGGGGACATGCCTTTGATGTATTTTCAAATGAAAATGAAATCTTTGTCAGCTTTTTCTTTTCAAACATGAACATTATGACACCAAATCATTCGTAATTTGTTTTACTTGGATTGCGTCCCTATACATATTTCTGATTTTATCTTTTCCAATTTTTTCATCCAATATTTTTCACTTTATTATGATAACTCTTGGTTCCTTATGACTTATGCGAGTATGAAAGAGTGAGATTACTTTATCTACACATTGTTCTAGTTGCCCTGGCTTAGTGCTGTTATCTTTGTGTGACGTAACGGTACACTTATCAATAATGGTCACACTATACACTATGGTGGGAATGCATGTTTATACAACGATTGTTGTCGTGTCCGTATGGCTTACTGTATGTACCGGTTCTTCAGTGTCCTCAAGTCAACACGATGATGACCACTTATGGAAGAATGATCCCAACTATTTCACCAGAACGATCAGAATGCCTAATGCTTTATCCACTAAGGTAAACCAAACTGGAATCCGATGTTAAAATCTTATCGGTAACCCGATGCATTTATTACGAAAACTCGGAGAAAATCGAATTAATCAGAATGTAGTGTAGAATTAACGTGTGATTTGGAAAAACGATTACTCATTTGAAAACGAGTTATCTTTCCTTAACATAACTCATCTTATTGCTTTAAGTGTTTGTTTTCATAAAAGTAAATTGAATTAATTGCAATCAAATAAAAATACCAAATGACAGATTGGTATTGATTGAGATTTCAGTATAAAACCAACCATGATGAATTATAAGTACTTTGTTTAATCCTTCATTAGTACATAACGGCCCTGTCATTGGATGACATTTCCCCTTATTTCAATTAGATGCCACAACAGGAGAAGGCATGTTGGCGAGCTACTATCTGATTTAGTGTAGAATCACCTGATGACAAGACTCTTTACTTATCGCGAAAATACTTTATCAATCAAAGTGTTCTGAAAAAAAACCCAAAAACCCCAAACAAAAACACATACAATTAACCAGGTAAAAATGCAAAGCGTCCCCGTGAATGGAATCCTCGAGAAAAAATAACCGAATTCTTCGTTTATACTGTCTCTCAGCGTTTCCCAAGCTATTCTTTATTTATGGGAAGGAAGGGACAGTTTCTGGTGCTGTATCAGCATTTCACGAAGTTTTCTCTCTTTCTGTATATTATGTAGGCAGATGCCCTTCTGTGCCATTCTGTCGAACTCGATGAACGTGAAGCCTATATAGGTACGTATTTCTACAACATCGCACACCTAACCTTAAGTGTCCCCGATCCTTTAATGAACGCCCTTTGTCGTTAAGTCAATGATTAGTGGGTGTTGAAAAATCAAAATGAGTTAAACTGACTATGTCTGGGCTACATATGGCAAATAAACAAACGGTACACAGTATTTATTAGATTTCTTTCGATCAATTCTGATTTTCCTCAACGGCCTTCTACATTTCAAAATTTTGTAACTTAGCATCAATGACGAGTCATAGGAGGACGAAACAGCTGTATGACGCAGTTTTATTCATAATTTAGTGTATCTAACTCTATCTTTGACAGAAGTAGTTTACTTTCTATTGCACAACCACATATCTGAAATCTGAGTTGATCGACTCCAGATATTGACAAACATTCGACAAAATATCTTTGAAGTCAATGATTAAGTTCCAGTTGCTCAAGAAAGGTTGTAAACTCTTTTCAACAGATATAATGTATTAAGATTAAACAGTAAAGTGCGTTGTCATGTTTATTTACAAACAACCGTAATGCATTGACGTTGTAAGGGGTCAATGTTTCACATGACATTCGTAATGATTTTTTTAATATAACGCTTCAACTACTTTTCCTTCCTGTTGCTCTAGATCAGTTCTGTTCTTCTTTTCTGTTTTGCACAGTGAAATACGAGCCCCATGCCACAAAAGCGGTTGCTCATCACATGATGGTATATGGGTGTGGCAAACCAGGAAGCGACAGGCCCTACTGGTGAGTGAATGACTTGGTAACAAATCTTTTGGATGATTGTCTTGTCCTGATTCACGTATGTTAGGTATTTCGATAATATTGATTGATAGCTTAACGACTTAACAACATACACATATTGAAAGTAAACGAGCAAATTCAGAATTGAGAAAATCTATCACCAAAATATGAATTGTTTATCTTCTACTTCACTACTTTTCAGATACCAAGCACATAAATGGTCGCCAATTCTAAAAGATTAAGATGTATTAGATTTGATAAGTAAGTTTAGGTATCGGTAATCTTGTTGGCTTCATTCTTCTCACATATTTGTATGATCTATAGTGACATTAAACAATGTACATCCGTTATAGATCTCATCTCTCCCTCATTCTTTTTAATATCAACCAAAATCCAGAATGTTCAAACTAGTAACATATTTACGTCTGTTAAGGTCCATAAGACCTCTCCCCTCTCCCACATTTAAAAAAAAATGTTATCGGAATCTTCATCTGCATACAAAGATATGTATTAGCAAGTACGGTTATAAAATGTCACTGTACGTATGTTCTCCATATCTTTGAACATCTGTACAAGCACAAAACTAAACAACAACAGATACAAGTATAAACTTGTACATTTCCAGTTACAGTATTTTCGCTGTATTTCATGATTAACCACTGAAGATGGATTTTCAACTCTAGTCATTAATTTTTATTTCTTATTTGATTAGGTACTAATTCCATATCATACTAATTTCATAAAACATGTACGTTTACCGTTAAGTGATAGGAGGGGTTTAGGTAATCTCCAAGTTCAGTATTGTGAAATGTTTTCTGTATACGTAGGCTGTTGAACCAATTTAAAGTATACCCATTCTGCATGAACTCCCAAGTATTTAAGCATTAGAAAATCCTATTGTGTACTAGGTCCTTTTGATTAACGCAATACCCTAAAAACTCAAAGCTAATATGCGGCTTATTTGTTTTAAAAATAAGCAAATGCAGATTTATTTTTGTAAGAAACTATCAGCTTGTTTTCATGATGGGTTTGTCCGGCTAATTCGCTACTTTAGGACTAATACCAGAATCATTAGAAGATATTTTGTGTTTTCTGATGATTTAATTCTTATGATATTAAGTACGTGTATATTGCAGCAATGTTATTGTAGTTTATGAAAAATATTAATTATTTTAAAACTGTACCTTGACGCATATGTGAGGACAGTAAAAGCGCATACTTAGCCTCAAAACAACATTTTTATCTTATCTTGTTTACCTTAAAATTCTTATATATTTTTTGACATTGGTTGTCGGAATCGGAAAGTAAAATACTGAAATTAATACAAAAAAATAGCAGTAATGGCCCGGTATACGGTCTATAGATCAGTTTGATATTCAGTATCCGTCCACTTTCCATGATAATCTATTCTGTGAGAATGATACAGAACCTGTCTACAGATTGTGCATAATGGGTTTTTACTTGTCGACTGGTGGATAGAGAATTAACAACAATCTATTATATTGAAGCTTAACATAAGAAATATTGAATTAGATTTCCATGGCAGAACGTCCTGACAGTCAACTCAGCATCCAGACACAACGGTTGCACATATTTCAAACCCCTTGGTGCCTTATTCCAACCTAGGTCTAGCTTCCTTTCACAAATGCAACTCATGCAGACCCTTTCATTAATAGGTGGGCATTGTCTTAACTAGATAAGTCACAGGTTTGATATCTCAACAGACTCAGCAGTATATCCATCGTCCTCTTTTCGTGATCGGTTTAGCCTATTAGTTTATATGTTTTAAACCTGAAATGCCCTAATTAGATAAAGATTGTCTGACCCCTACACAAGTTCTTCACTGCCGACTGAGAATTATCGCATCACCTTCAGCATAGACAAGGGGAGTTCGTTGTCTAAGAACTCCTCGGGATGTCTGCTATTTATTAATCTCCTCACTGCTACCTTGTTACAATTTATCATTCTCATTGTTCTTTTATTTCGGTTGCATGTGACAACAATGTACCTGTGCACCTTTGGGCCAATTGCAATACACCAACACCAGGTCATCTGTATGGCTACACGGTGCCGGATTATTGCACAATACCCTAATAGAATTAGAATTCTAACTCAAGGACGATAGAGGCTCCAACTGTTGCTTGAGGCCCAAATCTTTCGACTCTGGGTGGGCAAGGCTATCACAGTCCATCTCATTGAAACAAGGAACACACACACACTTCCGCATGGATGGGGCGACACATGCGTTTTAACCCCTTTCATACACGTCATCTTCTGTCTTAGACACTTGTTGGACTCTCAAGATCCCAAACATCGACCTGCAACACAGCCGCCAGCCAGTCTAGGCTACGCTCTTAAATAAGATTGTCAAGACCTGACGACTTGGCTACACAGCCGTCGGTTAGTCTCGCTTAGTCTGTCTGCTGACGAGTTTCCCGACTAACCTATCTCAGCTGCAAGATACTTATGGTCAAAGGCAACCCTATTTTCCAAAACTTGAAAAAATTCTTGAATCTTTATTCTGTCGTTTGTAATCTGTTATTAAAATGGATGAAATCAAGCAAAAACCGAGAATATGCTTTATAGTGTTAAGATGTTGTAAGTTGACTTATTTGGTCATTATGATGATTGTAAGCTATTTTTTTTATTCTTGTGAGTGTATGGTAAATGGTTTTGTTTTAAAAATTGGAAAGAGTTTACAAAATTTATTTTCCTGTGCCCTTTTGAGACATGTACCAATATCAACCCATTAAAGGCTTAGTTATAGAGGCATGTCCAGCCCTTTAGGTTGTTTGGAAATGTTTTATTATCATTTAATTCTCCAGGCCTTGTGGGGAAATGGACGACAGTTCAGACGTCTCAGTGTGTTCAGACGGAGACCGGGAAATCGTATATGCCTGGGCGATGGATGCGGACTCCAGGGAACTACCTTCCGGTAATGTGAAATACATTTAAAGGTTTTATTCGATTATTGCTAAATACTGACTTCCACAGTGATCCTGTGAACGTCGGTTGATAGTTCAGCAAAATATTCGGAATGAGAAAGTATGGAATGCTCATGCATGAATGCAAAGAGAACACTTTTAATAAATGTATCTAATTTGCCGATCAAACATATATGGGTGAATAAATAAGACTAATAAACGATGAATTAACTGTTTACAGTAGATGTTGATTTTCTTGGCGAGATTGAAATTAATCTGATCATAAATCGATATTTCCAGGCGTCGGATTCCGTGTGGGCGGTACAACCCGGACCAAACATATCGTCATACAACTCCATTACAAGGACAAGTTTAAAGGTCAGATCACCGGTAAAACAATATCAAATAAAAGTCATTAAACAGTCAACATGTCACGCATTGCTGAATTACGGACGAAAACAAGAGGTGTTTATCAAACACTATGTCCCTGATTGCATCAAAATTCTGAACTGGGACATTAAAACTGTACTGTGTGAGGCATGTGCTATTGCATTCACGCATTGTGAAACACTTATTTCTCCATTATGGCAATGATAGTTTTTTTTTATTTAAAATGTAGGTCAAAGGTCAATATCAAGGTCAGATTGTGAAAACCACAAAGGTCTTGTCGCTAGGAACACGTGTGGCAAGTATGAAAGACATATTTCTTACGGTGCAATAGTTATTGGCCGATGTTTAAAAAATTCAAATGTATGTCCAAGGTTACGATCCAGGTCACATGGTCAAACATTTTGGTACTACCGTAAAGGTTTTGTCACAAAGAACGCACTTGCCAAATATGAAAGTCCTGCCTCTTACGGCACAAGAGTTATGGGCAAGGTTAAAGTTGACAACAAACAAACAGCACAAAAACGATATGTCCGCGATCTTTCGATTCGAGGGCATAATAAAAGTTCATGGATGGAACTTAAATTATTGCCTCGTATTCTGTATAGAAGTCTATGATATGTCAAGGTAAATGAATTAAGACTTGATACCCACGGATTTTCATAAAACAATTTACAGCACATTTTACCGGTAAAGGTATACGGTGCCACTTTAACATCACTGACAACGCCCACAAAAAAGAAATAGTTCCAAAAGCAAATAATTAATGTGTTTCATGTAACATCACAACTAGGTGTGATTCCGCTGTTGTCTGCCTTATTCTCAAGTGGAACGTGTGACAACTTACTCGGATTGACCCAGATTTGAATGGCGGTTAACCTTCCAGTACATGTGGTCTTGCTCTCCTTGTGCTGCTTCAGGGGACTCCGTGTAAATAGTACTTCTGTCCACATCTTAACCTTTTCTTTTTCTTTCTTTTTGTACGAAACATATTTGGTGTCCTGCTTGGTTTAAAGCATAATGGAGACGTGTGATGTCCACAGTTGTACAGAACAAAGCCTGGCCAACGTTGTGATTGAATAGTGATATTGACTATTCTCCATGTCCCTTTTTGTCTCACTGGCAACATAGTCATTTTCCGTCCGTTCTATTGTAGCCCCTAGATTCAAATCCCTTACTTCCTTGGGATATTGGGCATGTCCTCATTCCTAGAATCAGAATCTGTTTTCCTCATTATCACATAATTTTATAAAACCATGTAGGTGTTTCATAAAACTGGTATATAATGATTGTATCAATAGCTGTGATACAACATCAGTGTCATGAGATTTTAAGTTTTCCTTTCGTGTTTCCTTTTACCAAAAGGAAAGTCCCTCTTTTTGTCAATAATTACATTTAATTTATAATCAGTATGCATGTGGTGTTATATATTCCAGGAGACTTCAGAGACAACTCAGGAGTGACCCTCCACATGACCTTCACACCGTAAGTATAGAGAACTAGAGGCTGAATGGGAGAGACCAACTACTGAAGTATAAATAAGTATAAATAAGTATAAATATATAAACATACTAGTATACTGCTTGTTTATGACATGTTCTAACTGCGTTTTACATAGAAACATGCTAAGTTATTCTTAATTCAGCCATTTTATATTTCACGAAAAAGCGTTCAGTTGTCCATGTATGTGTTGGCAGACAACCGAAGCAGGCCGGATATTACGTGATGGGTAACATGGGACATATACCTCCCATGATTCAAGGTACTTTGTTGGTTACATTCATTAGTATTCTAGTTCTGACAAAACCCACTGTTATGTGTGCATTCGTTTTTATTTTCATAACTTTACAAATGTTCATATTATATTATCTATATATTACATACTATTTATATATATCTATAACTTTGTACACAATGTAGGTTACATATACTGTTCTAAAACTTACTATGTTTTACCGCTTAGTTCCGATAACATACATAGTTTATAAAATGGTTTATTTCACTGACAATGTAGATTTCCATATGGAATCAGCATGTGATTATGAGCACAACGATACAATTTACCCTATCGGTTACCGGACACATTCTCACAATCTAGGTGAGTAAAATTATAAATTCATTTATATCAGTATAAAGGGTGCTATTTTGATGGAGTTTTTTCCCCTCTTTTCTATTTCTGAAGACGGAATTGATAAACACGCGAAAAGATAGTCCTGTAAACTATGTATTTAAAGGATGATGTTATTTTAGCGCTTTTTGCGCTGAAAGTATTGCGCTAAAATTTGATTGTGCTATTTTTCATGACATTCATTAGTTTGGTTTAAATATATTCAAAAAATATACTATTTTTAGAATTGTGTTAAAGATAAACATCTTAAATAGTTTGCTAAAACTTTATTTTCTGTCTGTTGTTAAAGTGACTGTTATTGTAATTGCCCGATTTCATCCATGCGCTAATTACACAAAATGTGATTATCCGCTAAAAAGTACGTTTTCAAAAGTTAAATAGTATCTTTTAAAAGCGAAAAACATTGTCCGTTTCGTTTCATAACTTCCGGAAAAAATTTTGCGACATTCTTTTAGCAAATCCAAAATTTGAATATCAAAAAATTAAGTTGAACAGTAAAATAACTACAGCAATGAGTTATGAAATATTTATCATAAACAATAACAATATCTTAGCTATATTGCTTTTACAATACTTTAGTTATTTATAGACGATATACGATATATATATATATATATAACATATACATTCAATGACATTTGGTGACGGCTAAGGTGTTGTTACATCCGGGTACCGTATTCGCGATGGCGTGTGGACTGAGATTGGACGTATGTCCCCACAACTACCACAGGTAATACTGACGGTTTATAAGGCAATGAAAATATATTTCATATTTATCTGTACTGAGAGAGAACAATGTAAAAACACTGTCATTAAATTTAATTGAAAGGTTCCAATGCTGATGAGGCACGTAAAGCTTCATGTTCTTAATTACTGTCAAATAATTAAATTTCGTGGAGAATTTATTTTGGATGATATCGTAGGTTCTCTTAGCCATGAATTCATTTGCACGACTGTTAGATTTATCCAAGCACTCAAGCATCCATGTATTACCCAATTTATTTATCATATTTTTGAAAAACCACAGAAAACGACCCCTACGAAAATACATTTTATATGGTTTTAAAGTATAAATGGCGTTATCTCAAAATCTCGCAATTTTATTATATTATTATAACACGTTTGCGTTCTGTTTGATAGACATTTTATAACGTAACAAACCCTGGCATAGACGTACAATCCGGAGATATCTTGGTATGTATCATCATTTGGAGCATTCTTGGTTATTCTCAGTTACACAACTTCGCCAATAGACATGTATTTTGTTAGAACTAATCTACATTGGAAATATTACATTTTATCGCTAAACATCGTGACAGTCTTGAATTTTGAAACAGCTAGAGGTAGAATAATTTGGGAGTTGATATATCACAATGACTGTTGCAATAATAAAAAAATTGGCCGTCAATTGTCATAATAATCTCGTGGTTCCAAAACTTATCTTTTTCTTAAAATGTTCAGTTTTGCATTTTGCTACCAAAACGAAACCTTTGGATACCGAAATTGGACCACAATAATCACTGGAGTCAGACCGCTGCTTCTAACGTGTAAATACCTATTACCTACGGGAAACAATTACCAACTCCAGTATTGTTTGGATTTTAATTACGTTTGCATGTTAGTATTTTCTTGATTTTTTTGTGTAACATTCGTTACCTTGTTACCTTCCACCACGCAGGCTTCTCGGTGCACCATGAGCAGTGACAGAATCGGACCTACTGTAATAGGGTAAGTACCATTGAATAGTATGTGCTTACAAACATACCTCTTTTCCTATCAGTTAAGTTAAAGCAATGCTACAAGATGATAAATTGTATCCTCCGGCAGTGAAGTGGGAAAACGTTTAATATTTTCACATTAACGTAAGTCTGCTGTAATGTCCGTGCATTTTACAATTTGTTTGGATCATGGACTAAGTGTGTAATAACTCTTGGTTGCAAGTTACATTGTACTGTAAAATCATATATTTTCGTGGGCGCAATTTTCGTGGTTATAGAAAAATTCACTATATCGTGGAAATTTCATTTCCTGGATAAATATAGGACAACAAATATTATTAAACTAAATATATCTGTTCGTGGGCATAAGAATTCGTTGATCAAGAGTGCCAACGAAATCACCGAAAATAAACCTTCCACGAAAGAAATACTTTTACAGTATCTGGAAAAAGATGAATATTCTATGTTGTGGAAATCAATAATACCTTCTTACATTCGATAGTCCAACCAACAAAGACGAGATGTGTAATTTCTACATACTGTACTACACTTACCGGAAGGAAAACCTTCAGATTCGATACTGTTTTCGGGACGCACAGAATTTCCAGTGGAGCAAGTATTTAATCAACATTCCAGAGGACGCCAGCTCCATAGAGGGACTTCCGCATTTTACTAGGGTCGATCCCTTTGCGCATGTCTTGAAACATTCCCATGAACGAGGTTTTGATCACCAAAATGAAATTATGTAGTAGCAAATACTTTTGCTGCAATATGACGCTCGCTTGATTAATCTTATATTTTACGTAAATTAAATCAAATCTTTGCAACAATATCGAGACGTTGTTTCCTGATCTTTAAAACGTTGTCCCTTTCAGGGATTTCATATTTTAATCAGTAACCGTTCATCATTTTCTCTGCTCTACCATGTGTCGTATTTGTTACATCAATTCTTTAAGAGATTCAACTTTAGCTTTACCGGAGATTTTATATTGGCAAGCATTAGAAATACAACATCAAGACCCACAATCACTCAAAAGGACAACATCAAGACCCACAACCACTCAAAAGGACAACATCAAGACCCACAACCACTCAAAAGGACATCATGACCCACAACCACTCAAAAGGACAACATTAAGACCCACAACCACTCAAAAGGACAACATCAAGGCCCACAACCACTCAAAAGGACAACATCAAGACCCACAACCACTCAAAAGGACAACATTAAGACCTTCAACATTTATAAAAGACAAAGTCAAATCATCAATCACGCAGGACAATATCAAGACTCAACAATTATGAAAGATAATACATGTATTAGGACTCAAAACAAATACAAACAGCTGCATTAAAGCTCTTGACCTTTACGAAGGACCTCGTCAAGGCTACAAACAATACAAAACAACTGACCAATACCTGACTACTACACTATGAGAAGAACAAGTTCAAGGGCATAGATCAAGTCTTGACCATTAGGGAGGACAAGATAAACACTCAACCATGATGAAAGGCAAAATCAACACTCTATTAGTCCACAGGACAACACGAAGGCATTATACGTTCAAATTTAGCAAATTTTATTCCATGGAATGTTGCCAATTCAACAAATTCATCATTACGATGAATATTCAATTAAGATTCAAAACATTTTCTTTCTGATAAATGGACGGAATTTCCACATAGTCATGTGATAATCTTTCTTTATGAAGACAAGTGAATTTACAAAGATAATGGTATCTAAATAAAATGGTAATGATTAGACATGGTAGGTCATTTTTATAGCTCTATTCTAAAAAGTAACAGAAAGAATGACTTTAACTTTAAGAATTGGGATGCATTATCTTCTTTATTCTGTCTACATGTTTCAACTTTTAATAGTACGTAGACAACAAAAAACATTAAACTAGCTTTGATATAAACACTGAAGTAAATTGCAGCTTAAGTTACAAAAGGAAATTAGAATAAATATAAATTTTGATGGGAGTTTTCTGTCGGTAAAACATAAATGAAATTGCAGGAAAAAATGACTGGGGAGGAATCTTTAATAAACATTCATATTCTATATCTTTACTACAGAAATCTGCAGTTACTGTATCTCCAAAGTTAAGGAATATTCATGAAAGAAGTGCCATTTATGCACTTAAAGATAATTTCCAAAGTTGTAAGTGGCAGAAGAATGGTTTGTGAGGTAGAACTCCTGGGCTTCACCCCTAGCAGTATGTTCTCATTTGCAATAAAATGCTATATACAGATATAAAAAAAAAATATGTTAAACAGCTATTGCAGTTTCTCATAAGTAAACATAAAATTACAAGGAAATTAAAACCAAATAACAAAGTCAATGAAGTTTCAATTACTTATATGTTGTATAAAAAGTCTTTGTACTGTTCTCTTTAATATAATTCTGTATCTAATAATCCTGAAGTGTACCACACAGGTCGGGTATGGTCCAAAGTAAGATACTTCAATACAGAATATTACAAATGTAAACATTCAAGAATAAACTGTTAAATAAGTTTCCACACATGGTCGGATATTTCTCCCGAATATCTCTCCTTAAATTTCCCTTCTTTGTGGTACTGTGTGTTTGAATAAATTACCTTTGTTCATAATTTCACACAAGGCAGTTGTCCCACTGTCTGGACCTGTAACTTTCTCAATAAGACCAGTGTTTCATTACTGACATTTGCTGGTTATCAAATTGATGAACACTTGTAAAATTTGTATTGAGTTCCTTGATTAGGTCCCAGATATCATCAACTCCCAGAACTACTCTGGATAACTTGTCGTATTCTCTCAGCATCTGTCTTCAGTTGTTCATTGTTAGGATCTATCCTCAGAGCAGCCTCATAGTCTTGTAGTCCTTCAACACAGATAGATATTGTTACTATAACCCTACTCAAATTTATGGCATTCATATTGTATTCAACGAAACACCCAATCCAGTGATCAAAGTCATACATAAGCATAACTCTTTTGATTCTTTTTTCCTTCTGGAAAACTTGACAATGACAATGAGTGAATTCAATCAACACACATTCATACTTAAAGTAAATACACTGTAAATTGAAATAGCTTCACTGTACACATGTCTGTTGCATTATGTAGAAATCTTTTCTAATGTAACTGACATTTAATATTTACAATTTTTCATAAAGTTTTATACAGGGCTTACCTTCCACATACATCTCCAGCTCACAGAAAGCTGTGCCCTTCCTGATGAGAGCTTTCACACGACTGGCTGCATTCTGTGGTACAGGTGGCTCCAGTAAGTCCATTGCCTGTTTGACATGAATAGGGAATCATAAACACAATAAATACTTGTCACTACGATTAAGCTATTTGCATTCCATGAAATTTCTAAGTTTGGCACAAAAGTTGTTCTTTATATAAATGATCAGTTATCACAGTAAATATGGATGAAATTTATACATAACAAACATGTATGTATGTATTATTATGTTGCTTATAAGACAAATACAAAAATTGTGTTTAATAAATCTTGGTAATGTGAAATCTTAACAAGGATAATGATGATTCGATCTGTATTGTTTGAGCATCAACCACAAGAATAAACACTAACCAATGTATTGTATAACAGCATGGATGACAATCTCTGAATATGATGCCATCAAAATGTAAAAATGTATTAACATAATGGAACATACCTTACTGCAGTCCTCTATACATTTAAAGAAGTTCCTCATTTTCAGATGACATGCTGCACGATTGGAGTATAATCTGTGTGTAGTTAAGGAATGTAGCAAATCTCAATAAAAATACTTAAATGTTAGTTTCCAAAACCCAGAATATATCTAATAATAATTACCAGATTTACCTCTCTTTACCTCTTTTATGAGACATCAAAATTGCACTTCCATCTGTGCTGGTAAATATACTGGTATATTTTTTTGCAGTAATATTTTTGAAAAAAACATTCTTTTAACTTTTAAAAAACAAGAAAAAAAAGCAGAAAAAAAGAAAAAACAAAAGGTTAAAAACAGTTATGTTCATTGGTAAACATCCTACAGCAGGGGATGGGGTTGACAAGGTGGTGGGGTATAAAGGAAGAAGATGGAGTGAAGGGGATGGAGGTGGGGTGGATATAGTAGGTGGTAGATAGATTAAAGGACAAGGTGATGTATGGTAGGTATACAGGAGGGGTATCAGGATAAGAGGATGGGTTTATGAAAAGTGTGTCGGGGGTATAAAGGAAGAAGATGGAGTGAAGGGGATGGAGGTGGGGTCTGGAAACAGGAATGGGGGTTTAGAGGGATATAGTGACAAGGTGGTGGAGTATAAAGTAGGGATATGGGGACACTGAGTTTTAGATTTTAAACTTTAATCACAGACCTTGTTGGAGTGTCTACAAACTGTATCCAAAAATGTGAATTAAGTTAATCATTCTTTATTATCACTGAAAATAATCTTGAAATATAACCACTGTGTCATTATGTAAAGAGGTACAATATAAGGATACCCTGGTATTTTTGGGTTCAGTCGAAGTGCATGTGTATAGGCATTGATAGCACTCAGGAAGTCTCCTGCCTTGAAAAACCCACTGAAAAAAAAACCATTATTTGTAATACAATTATAAGTATCTTTTAACAAGTATGTGTTCCTGGCAAGCTAGCATGCAAGAAATATGATACATGTTGTTGAAAATGACCTGAGTAGAGCCAGGAAAATGGGTCACATTATAATGCCGAGTGAGTTACTCAGATCTCAGTATCAGATGATGTCACAGATTTTTTTTTTCACCTAGCTCCAACATATACACATTAGAAGAAATATCTTGGCATGCTTTTTGTTCTATCTTCAAATTATGCATTAAACATATTACTGTATCTATAATAAGAGCTCCAATGGGCCTGTATCACTTATTTGTTGTGCCATTCATGAAAAATAAACTTTGGTTAAAGAGTAAACTCTTTTGGTTATTGAGAAGATGTCTGATATTTTTAACACCATTGTGACCTTGAAAGTGAGTAAAGATAATTAATTTGAACAAACATTAAAACTCTTCATGCCAGACTGCAACTCTATTTAGAAATTCAGCCTCTAGGTTTCTGACCAGGTCAATTGTGTATTTTAAAATGTTTAAGGATAAACAGTGATAGATAACATAACCATCTTTTTTTAATTAGTTCATCAGTGTCTCAGCCAATTAGTACAACAACAATACAGTAACCTCCTGTTTAAATGTAATAAAATACAAATTCATTTGTAACAAATATTTTCAATGTCAACATCGATGTCCCACAAAGATGTTTACATAAAAAACCAAACTTACTTCCCCTTATCTCGCAAAAACATTGGATTTCTCTCCTCCTCTGTTAAATCTTTATCTTGTAACTCCATAATCTTTCTTGTCTCTGCTTGTTTCTTTAGCCACTGGTAATTATATACAAAAAATGTCAATTTACAATCATAGTGTTCCACAGAGCCATCAGACTTTAGATGTCTTATAAAGATTTCTGAATACATGGTATATTCATATATTTGTAATTTATACATAGAAAATTGAAATTGAAAGATTAGTGGAAAACAGTAAATTTTAACAGGAATCAAATAAAAGGATTTCAGAATATATTGTTTATTGACATATTTGTGATTTATGTATCATGGTCTTATAGTCTCATGACAATATTCTGACTCTGTTTGACATACCTCCTCCTCCTGGGGTGTCTGCGACTCCCGAACAGGTGTTGGGAACACTCGAGCAGTGAAGGATACTTCAATCTTCCCCACCTCTCTCTTTGGTATCCCACCGGCATTCTCCTCAAATATGTTAGCATTTTTTTCTGTATCAGATGAAAACATCATTATAATATATTTCTTTTTTGATCTCCCTTCTGATGTCTTTGCACCCTGGTAGCTCAGCTGGTAGAGCATCTGCCAAATGAAAATCTAAGGTGTGTAGAGCAATCTCTTTGTAAATATGTGTTTCTTTGGTAACTTTGGTAAACAATAACCAATATAATCCTCGTCAAGAGAGAACTTCTCTTTAGCTCGATCTGTTGAGTGTCAGACTAGTAAACCAGGGGTCCTGGGTTCAAATCCTAACACTGAAATGAATAATGACCTCTATTACAAGAAGTTGAGATCCAGGATTGTTCTTTGCTGTCATTGCTGTACACTTTACCCTACCTGCTCTACAATGTAGATAGCATGTGACGAGCCTCTCACATGGTATTCAGTAAGATAGCCACCAGCTGATAGAGGAAAACCAGATGTCAAAAAAAGACTTTAGCAGTTCACAGGGCTATGAACCCAACAAACCAAACTCTAATGTTAAAAAGGTAAAATGAATACTAAATAGAGTAACCATATTATTGACTGTGAGATATACAAATGGCCCTCTACATTCATTGATCATATACTAATCAAACACTCGAGACAATCCAAAACTTGATTAAGTATTAAAACTGAAAACTGTTCACCTGTGTACATATTGTAATTAATGGAAAGTCAGCAGCAGTACATATAAAAGGTTTAAAAAAAAAAGAAAGACAAACAATATACACTCAGCAATACAGTACTGGTTGAAAACATTACTGAGGATATATTAAAGGGCTAAGAATTTTACCACTTCATTTATATTGGTCAAACTGATGTAATGTATAAACAGATCTTTTCCTTCTTTTTTATTTCAGCTGATTAAAAACACTTTATTTACATTATAGCAATTTGTGTGGAACAATAAATACAAACTTCTATAAATCCCTCTTGCTGGCCTGAATATTAGCATACAAAGGTCAATATACGAGGACATCAGAATACCCAGAAAAAAATCCTTGCCACTTAGCATTGAAGTAGAGGACCTATTATCCTTTTCACTTCTGATTGTGGACTGGAAACCCAGTCATCAAGGTGACAGGCAAGTGGTAATAATTTTCAATCAGATATGATAATTATACAATGTGTTGCAGCCAATGATTTTGATATTTTTCTTATGCAATGGGAAAAATAAGATTCCATTATTTAAATAAAACTTACTCCTTTTATTTTTCCTCTCAAGTTTCTTACGTTCCTCTCGCAGTGCATCTTCCACAGCTTTCTGTTCTTCCATAATTCTCTGTTTTTCCTTTAAACAAATTTGTATTATGATACCAATGACTGTGATATTGAAGTACGTTTTGTGCAGTTTTTTTTCTCTTACAAAATAACATTTAATTCTGACAAGTGATTCTTCTTTTTCAATTCATAAATTCATTCTGATTTTTTTTTATTTTGAGATAGTATTTCAGAGTTAAAGCAAACTATTAAATATACTGTGATATGACATTTTTTCAAAGAAAGTAGATTACAACAAGAATACTTTTAAACCTATCATTCTACCAATAAGCATTTGATGTCATATCTCAACAGTAAATGTATTTATACTCGTAGATCTGATATCTATTGTTGATGTATAAACTTAAGGAAGTCAATTAATCACAGATTAAAATAAATTTCCAGTTAAACCTCATTTCATTCCAAAATGTATCTAGTAGTATTTTGCCCTTGTAGCAATGTTGGTGGTACTTCTTTGGAGAAAGGAAAAAAATTAAAAAAAAAAAAAAAAAAGTGAAAAGGAACCTTGAAAGTTTTGAACAAAAGCAGAATGGTAAATGAAGCAAGTACCATTACACAAAAGGTTTGTTGTACAATAAAAATCTGATAAAGACATCTTTTCATTTCATTGGGGTAGCTCAACATATTGCTTGTTTTCTTTTTTGAATGTTGTAAAAGATTCATGAATCCAGTCCTAGAATTTTCTAAAACTAACTGTATCATATATGTAATGGTGAACCTCAGTAAAGGCCTATTTTACCTGTTCTGCCAACATTTTCTGTTCATCTTTCCATCTCTCCAAGTCATCTGTAGCTTTCTTAATCTCATCTTTCTTTATTTGTTCAATTCTGGATCTTTCCTCTTCTTCTAACTGTTAAAACATATGTCAAAGTCAAATTATTTTGTCAAATCTGTCATATACCTGCAAAGCATTGTCTTTCAGGGTCAAAACCAGTTTGTCTTAAAATGGTGTAGGAACTTCAAGATTTCAACTTTTAAAACAAACTAGTTTCTTTCTTCATGCCTAAATAATTAGATCATACATGTATACAGGTTTGTACACTTATAGCTGAGTTCTACTAACAACTAGACCTTGGATTAACAGTGAAGCATGAGTTTCATTTGTCAAGCTTACCATCAGCTTGAAGCAAATTATGAATGACATATATTTTTCTATATTTTTTTTTATATAGAAAATTAACCAGAAACACATACCCTCATCATTTCATTGAGAGCCAGCTTTCCATCTAAACGCTTCGTCTCTGCTTTCTCTGACTTTTCTTGCTCTGCCCTGGCATGACTTTTGGCTATTGCTTCCTCTCTCTTCACCTTCATCACTTCCTTGTTAGCTGTGTGTACAAGATTGTTACATATTTGGTAATTTTTTATGCAAAAAATGAATGATATTGAAGAATAAAAGTAAAACAACTTCTTTTTTCTTTTATGCAAACGTAAGAATTTTTATTTCAAAGCATCACTGGTCGTGCCAGCATCATCAGAAATGGTAATCTTAATCTATGTACATATAGACCAAGTACATGTAGGTACATTTTTCTAACAAGGAATTGTTTCGCAAGTTAACATTAACATAAGCACATTCAGTGTATTTAATTTGCTTTTATTCGCACACTTACTAAAATCCTCAGAAAACAAATTGGACCAAATGCCTGGCTCCTTCTTAAATAACTTGAAAACAACAGCTCCATTTCCAACTTGTGCTATGCTCTTTTTGTCCTCTACTTCAGCATACAGAAGGCACTCAAACAGATAAGGGGGACAACTCACCTGAAATCAGATATATTTAAGGCACCTAAGTCGTACATGTATATTAATGCATGTTCCCTCTCTATAACTCTCAAAGTACAATACACTTGTTCAAGTTATGCCAATATGTAAACAATCTACATATAACCCCAACCAGAGGTCTCTTGTTGTTGTTGGAGAACCATCTTTAGCCTCTATCCTTTGTCAGAATTTAAAGGTAGATTATACTAATTGAAAGAGGACTTAACCATTAATTATATTTACTATGTGTACTTAACATAAATGACAATTATTCATGTAGACTTATGTTCAAAGGTGAAGGAGTCTAATCATTGAAAAATGTAACCTCGGCCACCGCTACCTTGCCAAGTTCATGCTCCAACAATTAAGCTAAATGGAAATTCTTCCAGTTCAAAGCTAAATGGAAACCTACCCTGACAACCAAAGATCATATACCTCAGTCACCCCTAGTTTGCCACATCAGTCTTATGTTCTTTAGTATACGGCCAGAATCCAAAATAGAGTTAAAACCTGGCAAATCATATAACTTCTCATTTTTTCGCTATGTTTACTTGTGAACACTATATCAACACATGCTCTATAACGTGTCATCACAATGAGTGACACTTTATTACAGCAATTTTCCACAGGAATGTTGGTACGTCTCGTACTTTTACAGCATTGCTGTATTAAAACCAATGAATCTGACACAGTCATATGATTATAACGTTCTAACATTAAGAAAATTCTACTATCGTTATTAAAAAGAACTGAGAAAGAACACCAGACTTCAGACAAATACTACCACAATGTTTCGTTCTAGATGATATCGACTACAACATAATCATTTCCCATTTATTGAATAAAGAATTGGATTTACCTTCAGATATTCTTCAGTGGAGAAAATGTTCACATTATGAGACTTTACTCCTTTCAATGGAACGGTGACAAACACGGCGTTTTCTGTTTCGTCCCAAGTGTAATCTCGTATAGCAAGCGGCATTATCTCAGTGTTTCTCGTGGTTCAGATTAATTGATGTACAAAAACTTACTAAAAATTGATAATTTACGAAAGACGCAGACTTCGCAGGAACTTGCCAGAACAACGGCAGACATGTTGGATCAATCGACCAATCAAATTACATGAAGCTTGCCATTCATCCAATTAAATTCAAGAGGAGATTCTGCTCGTTCCTAAAACACGTTGTCGATGTCAACAAATACATGTGGCGACATATGACATGGAAGCCGCTAAGGGAATCATGAACTCTTCAGATTTCTATTGCAATTAATCATGACTGAGAGATATGTTCAGTTAAGCAATGAAAATTGAAACAAATGAAATATAGTATGGGATTAAAGAAAGCGACTATATCTCATATTTGCGTTGCCGTACGCGTCTATTGCACGATTACAAAATCAAAGTACTGAGAGTCCTGATAAACTACATCAGAATATCTGGTAAAAGCACGGACCTAACCTTAAAATTAAAATATAAGTGTAAAACATCAATTAAATGTTATAAGAAATGATGAAAGAGGGATTTAAAAAATGTCGTTGAATAAGCTGTTTAAAATAGTGTAAAAAGGACATAAATGGGTAATGTTTTAACAAAGTGTATTTGTACGTAGCATCCCTTTGGTCTCTGACTGATAACTATCAATCACAACTGTTTTATATTACATGTGGAAGTTTTGCCATAAAAGGTTTTTAAATGTCTGACAGAGGACAGACTATGAACATAGGGCAATTTGAATACCTGTCATCTGATGATGACGTGCCAAAAAGATGGCATTATTGGAAGAGTTGAGTTTGGTAACTTTCATCTTCATACCAAACATCATATCATTTTCCTTAAATCTGTACAGAGTGCGTATATGAAATAGCAACACTCCGGGCCTATGTCTTTTGATTATCAAAATATGTTGCTGGAAGATGTGACATGACCTTTGTTTCTAGAATGTGGATTAAGGTCATTTATTTGATCCAACTATAAAGTTTTTCATTTCAGCATAGAGCTTGGAAGTTGCTTAAAGACCCCTGTGACTTAGAAAGTACATAAAAAATAACTTTTAAACAAATTTGGCACACTTTCACCTCAGCATACTACAAGCCTAATATATGTACCGGTATATGGTAGGCAGCCTCTTCGTCATCGAGATAAAGTCAATGAAAGTTGATAACTCGTCTGACCCCTGTGACCTTGAAAGCAAGTCAAGCCAGGTAATTTGTGTGAACAAACATGGAAAGTCTTCATCCAACATGCTTCTAGCCCAATATCATAACCCTGAGTCTCTTGGTTTTTATGAAGTTATGAGATTTCATCAAATTTGACCCCTTGTGACCAAAGCAACTCAAGATCATTAATTTGAACACATCCAGTAGGACATCTTCTCGGTGGCTACTGTTTCAATATCATGACCCTTGGCCTCTTGGTTATTGCGAAGTTGTTTAAAGCTTTTAACACATTTGATTTTTGTGACCTTCAAGGTGGATCAAGTTCATTTATATGAATATGTTTGGTAGTCATTCATCCCAGCATGATTCAGGCACAATAATGGAAATGTCATGAACCTCTCGGCTATTGCACTATTGAAAACATGAAGAGAAGAGTCACTGAACTAATACCAGGCATAGAAGACCTGTCATACCAATAGAGAGTTGAGGTACTGCAGCTCAAATCATTGGCTTACAGACACAACAGTGGAGATTTTATAAAATTCTGACAGGAAAATATGATCCTGAATTGTCAAAATTCATGTCACAAAAGAAGAACAACACTGTTACAAGAGGTTAGGAACTGAACAAGGATAGGATGTGCTGAAACATGAGGAATTTTGTAACAGAAATGTTGACATCTGGAACAGATTATATCATGTAGAACTGTTAAATATTTTGAGTCTTACCAGAATCATCACCAGATAGACCAAAATATACTCAATAATTATACAGAACCAGTAACATAATCCATTCCTTGTCATGCTAGACTTACTCCTTTTAGTGAATGGCCTTTTGCTTATTGAAAAGATGTCAATGATATTTTAACACAAAATTGATAATAACAGGTGGATGGATGGCAGACTCTTCACCATGGCATAAGTTAACAAAAGCTGAAAAAAATCCAGATTATTTAGAGCTCAAATTTATTTATCATTTATCAAATCAACTTCACAAAACAACTATTCAAAGTAAAAATTATATCGTAACTACTATAAGTCATAAATTACACAAATGTGAAAATATAATAACAAATGGTTAAAAGAAATTGGTTGAAAATTACAAGTGGTGAAATAAAGTTCAATGACATTACAAAAAAAATAAAAATAAAAAAAAAATCCCTGAAAATCAAAAACAGCCAAAACATATTAAAGTAGTTTGTTAAATGGAAATGTTTAAAATTACAAATGTATTTTTCAACACTGCAGTTGGCATTGATTGGCCCTGATCCTGTACTCCAAAAATAAATATTGTAAATAATACCCTTTTACATGCAAAGACAGATTACTAACAATGACCAGTTTCATACATTCAAAGTAGACATTTTAACATATTCCACACTAGTTGTGTAGATAAATATACTGTCTATATAACTTACGATGTACATGATGTAATAAAATTATCACTTCTTGGCAAATTAGCACAACAATGACTTAGTGCATCCACAGTAATTGTTATATAAACACTGTATGAAGTGGACACATTCCATTGACTGCATACAAAATACACAAAAATTATTAGAACAATAGTTATTTTGGTCAGCAAAAATTCCTAATGTTAATTAAGTTGCTACAATTCCACATTGAGCGAGTTGAATTATTTCCAACAGACAAAAAACCTGTCTTAGCACTGTGTGTGTGGTCAGTTGATCATGTGATAAATCATGTCACAGACGATTTGGAATTCAATGTCTCAATCACTTGTGATACAATTGTTGACACCTCTGCCATTGCCCCATATCCTGTGAGATTAAAGAAACATTTGTATGTATTACAATATGATAATGATAATCTTCATTTTATGTTTTCAAAATTGTGAAATAAATATTCTCATTTTATGCATGTAACTTCTAACAGTTGTCCTGGATTTCAATGTGATTGTGGTGTTCTACATTTTCTTCACATAACAAAATGTATATTTTGCACATAGACGCTACTTTTTGATAACAAGAGGTAAAATGGTTCTGCACCACTCACCTCTTATTCAATGTTTTTCACAAATATAGTAATACATTTATATATCTCATGTTATTGACTTTTCAAGTCCAAATCAAATTTATCTAATCCAACCTCAGAGGCTGGAATACCCAGATAAAAGTGATTATTTTTTTTTAACTTTTGTTAAACTCAGCTTCATCCTTCCAACATAATATCATGATTCTATGACTTTTGTTTAAGAGAGCGTTTGAATGTTTTAACAAGTTTGTCTTCCTATGACCACTTATATGACTGAAGGTCATTTCTTTTCAAAGCTTTGTCCCGCTTCATCCAAGGAACCTACCAGACAAGTATCATGATTATGGGCCTTTTCAGCAATTAGTATAAATTATTGCTTGAATATTATAAAAAAAAAAGCATAAAATAGAATTATTAATAATATCAAAAATTACCCATGTGTTCTACAAGATGGTTCAAGTTAATTTCTCATCAAACACTAGGAATTCACCTGCAGGTACATTTAACTTTGAGGTAAATATTATGATTCAAGGCATTTTGGAAAATCATGACAATAGAATGTTGTTTAAGTGTAAAAATAATAAACCTGACTTCTGTGGCCTTTGTATATGTATACATTACATATTTGGTAAGGAAGCACTGTATTAAGTTTGAGCTAAATTGGCCGAAGTGAACTCAAGTTATCGCAAAAAACCTTTTTTGCTGACATTGCCGCCGGCATAGTAATACCCATGTGTCGCCTTTGGCACTAAAATAATTTTCAGGATAGTAATACATGTCCTACTGATATATCAGGTACTTTTTTTAGCTAATAGTGCATGATCTATATGCCAATAATTGTATTACCTGTGTCTCCACATGCAAGAGTCTTTTTAATACAAGGTATCTCTTTATAGCCAAAGTTTCTCAGCTCAGAAGTATGCTTGGCACTTAGTGGGTGGTTCCACATGTGTGTATTCATGGCTGGCGCAAACAAAAGTGGGCGCTGCAAGTCCCAGGCTCTAACAGTACATGTCTAAAAGAAAAAGACTACAATTTTGTAATCATATCTAATGTAAAGTCAATTCAGTGGAAATGATTTCCTTACTTAAACTATGGTATTATAATTGTCTTGATTCTGATGGTCGACTTACCAATAAATTGTCACAGATTCCTCCTGCAATCTTGGCTAATGTGTTTGCATCTAACGGTGCTATCACCATCAGATCAGCCCAACGTCTTAACTCTATGTGTAATATAGGGTCCCTCATTGTCTTCCAGGCCTACAAAAATACATTTGTCTGTAAGATTCACCTTACTTAAATTTTCAAATCATATGTCTTGAAATACAAGAGATTTACAAGTCTAAAATCTTGATTTCCTATAAAAAAAAGATTGTACAAAAGACACACAATGGAGTAATATATTTTAATAAAACTTTAAAGTTAGATAAAGTAGAGCCAATACAATAAATCAAACTAAATCATGCAGCTGTTTCATCCTTCTAAGACTTGTCAGTGATGCTAAGGGCCTAAATTTTGAAGCCTAGGAGGTGACTGAGGAAAATTCCAAGTGATCAAAAGAAAAGTAAAAATGTAAATGGGGATGTCAATAAGTCAATAAATTTTGTAATTTTCATACAACTGATAATTTAAGTACATCATCATGTGTACATTTTGAACTGTGCCACTAATCAAATGAATTAATATGTTGTATGAAGGTTACAGCAACCCTCAGGGACCATGGTCAGTAAATGATTCTTTTATGTAGGTATTTTAACATAAAATATACATGAAAAATCAATATTCTTATTCACTACAAATTTCCTGTTAGTTATTTATGAACTAGCAATAATAAATGCAGGCTTTCTTATTCTATTACTTTTTTTTCATTTTACCTTTCAGCAGACTGGAAAGAATAAAAAAGACTAACATTGTTTCATTTCACATGTATTGAAGACATGCTTACAAAGAGAGAAAATAATTTCTCACATGCCAGGATACGTATACCTGCTCACATGCAGCCATCTCCCTCCCCACCTCTACTTTTTCAGAAAAAAAAGAAAAAGAAAAAAGGAAGAACTGAAGGGTGGGAAATCTAAATACTCTGTTTAAATTTCTTTTCCCCCTTTTTTTTTTGTTTTATCTGAACTGGATTGCTATTTCATTTAGAGTAAGCTGTTATAGACATCTCTTCTCAATACCTGCCACTCATCAGCATCCCGGAGAACTGGAACCTGGAGACAAGTGTGGTCAAAGAAATGAAGGGCATTTTCAGTGGTCACTACCTTGATTTCCAACTGAAAAAAAAATGTGTTCGTTTGTGCATATATATTTCAACTAATTAATAAATAAACACTAAATATAAACATATGTATGTGAATATCTATTGCACACACTTTGTAGATAAACAACGAATGAAGTGCAATTTAAAAAATTCAAATACAGGTAGAATGGTTCTGACACCGTGTACATGTACCTGGTCATCTATATTCATCAACTCTTGCACCAGTATTGGAACTTTGACAGATGCCACACTTCCAGTACATCCAATCAGAACGTTCCGTGTTTGTCGTGTTCCCGATATTGAATCATCCATCTCAGGAACATGCTCAGTATAAATATCTCTTTCCATTTCAGAAACTGTTGACTGATTCATCATGTAAAACGCATATGACCAATGTTTGAATTTGACCCCTGTATAGTATAAGTAAATTGAAAGTAGACAATTCTGTTGTAAAGCAGATATATAGACTATAATTATTGTCTTAATTAATGGTCATTATTGAAATTATCAAATATGTATAATATGCATATATTTGGAATCGTCAATATAAGAGAAAAGGTCATGTCCAGTGTAATAAACACGGAGGCTGATGGGTTTAAGCCGACTTTACAGTAACGTCGTTATCGGCACACACTGGAGTAAACCGTTGGTGTTACAAGAGGGAAAGCTAAAGACAAGATATTTGCACGGATCTATTTTAATCTCTCATTTATAACAACTTTCAATGATATATTACTTACAAATAACACTACCATCAAGTATATTCAAGTACAGTATATAAAAGAACTTTAAGTTATCTTAACGTTTTGGCCAAAGAAGGTAACTGAAGTGATTATATTGCCTTCATTATATTTCACAATGTAACAATGGAAATCAATATGAAAAACAATTACTTCAATATAAATCTATTTTTAATTTCTCATAAATGATGACTGTGTAACGGTAATAAAATTAAAATAAGAAACGTTTCATATTTTGCTTCAAGATGATAGAGATATTTAACGTTTGGTTTAATTCCAGGCAAATTTATCCTATTATTACTACACTTGGTATTATTTCAGAAGGATTTCCGAATTAGCACTGAAGCAAATGATAAATGCCGAAGAGTCCCAAGTCGGGTTAAGACGATGGAGTCGAATGATGACGACGTGGGATCCAGCGAAGACAATATTCTATACGATTTCACCATTCAAGCAGAATGGCAGCAGGAGCCAGAAGTGTTTGTTAGTGTCTTAGTCATTTAAATGTATCACATGTTTCAAAACTTAAAGAGAATCTGTTGTAACATTGATCATCAACATCGGTGTAGCCCACTTCCTTCAACTTTTCGATAACTTTATCTTTTCATTTTGTAAATATGTTTATAAAGGATATATAAAAATGCTCCAAATAACGTACATATCCAAACGTTAAATTGTTCTAATTTGAGAAAAATCACGATATATTTACAAGTATAATGCTGTCATTGATATGGTGAAAATGGACTCAGAAATACAATTGTAGCTTTCTCTTCATTTCGACCCCGTAGGCCTGTGAGCAATGAAAAATACTCCAGTGCCTCGTAATCGAACAAGCCATTTTTTCTATTTATATTGGAGTAAATTAGATATTACATATCCAAGTTTCTGTATTTAGGTTGCATTAAAATATGCTGTTCTTGATAAGCCATTTGATCATAAATGTACAATACTGATATAGAAATAAGTTTTGTGGTACCTTCAAGTGACCACTGCAAGAAGGACATGTCTATTTTTTTGGCATGTGATTCAGCCATCATGCATTATTTGGATAGCATTATGTACTTAAGAAGTATAAATTATATGGACCTAAAGTCCTTATATTGGATAAATACTTTCGAGTTTTGTTCATTAGCCCATTCACAGCCCTTGCAAATATTGAAATATTGCTTGTGCAAATACATGATAGAATGATTTTCTCCTGGGGTTTAGGATGCAATGATTAAGAGACTTACATATTATTACTTCTCTGATTATGTCTGTTTTGGATTATACTTCATTACAACACACTAGAAAATGTATAAGCATTACATATCACAGCCGCAATAGATATATACAAAAACATTCAGGCTCAGTATAACTGACTGACATGTTGAACTTTGTACACAAGGTTATTGAAATATCTGGTGTAGGTCTCATACCTAGCAAATAAAATCACTTATGATAGAAACACTATCTTTTTGTCAGTTAGATATTGGATTTTTTTTCAATTTTATAAAAACTTATATCTTCACTGCCATGATGATATGAAACCAACAAATATCCCCTATGTGCATAAATTCTGTATTCTTGAACGCATATACTTCAAGGTTACAAGAGACTCTTCAGGTTTGCAAATGTAAACATTATCTGTAGGATGTTTTGGACCATGGTAAGATAATTATAGAAATGCTTTCTTCATTAAAAATAAATAATACATTAAGATTTAAAACAAGGATGTTTTTTCAACTTATTAATATTGTTTTTTACTTGTCCATTCAATGATAAAATTATATTCATTTCATTTTTTTTAAAAAGGTAGGATTTTCATGAGTATTTTTTCAGTGCCGTTTGAAGAGTTATTAGGTCTATCAGATTTATTTGGCAATATGGTTTTAATTTACATTAAAAATCTAGTAGTTTTTGGAAGTTTGTGATTATTCAACATCTAAAGATCAAACAGCCAGTTTTTTTCAAACATTTATGATTATAAACAGATAGCTGTACATTGGAGATAAATAATTTTGTTTCATTTCTTAATTGTTTGAAGAAATCAAACTTTAATATGAGATCATTACATTGTCAGGCTGTGATGATGACCTTGATTCAAAGTGTAAATTAACTTCAGAGTATACAGATTAACATTTGAAATAGAAAATTCAGTGATCACAATCCTTAATATAATACAACAATTATGGAAATGAACATTGACAAGTGGTCAGTTAAATTTTATTTGAAATACTGCAAGATTTGGGCTGAAAAACGGGTCAACTGGCAGCTTGGGCACAATAGCTCCATTTAAGGGTTTAGTTGTAGGGGTTATTCATTAGAGTTTGTGTCTGCTTCTGTTGAATAAACCTTCTCCAGTTTAGAGCAAAATGTGCAGCTGCAATAAATTTCAAAAAAGTAATTGTTATTGTTTACAATCCTAATTTGAAATTAAAATGATGATAACAACATGATTATATGATATAAATTCCAAATATTTCTATTTTTTTTAAAGGTTAACATATCATATTTAATATTGAATGGTACTATATGATCAGATCAGGTAGTATGTATGAACTTTTGGAGACATGAGACATTCAGATGGTAATCATGTCCTCTTGTAAGTGTCAATTTATCTAAGAATTTGATAAATGTAGTTGCATGAAGAAGTTAGAAATTGAAAACTGAATCACTATTCATGTCACATTTAAAGCAGAGAAATATATTGCATACATTTTATTTACACTAAAATCATTGATTTTTGTGTGTTTGTGATGGATAGGGGAGTTATTTAGTCAAGTGTTTAAAAAAAAAATATTGAAAATTGAGTCTCACAAAAATATATGATTTAACAGTAAATGTGATTAATATTTGACTTGTCTCAGCTCCTCTGCAAAAATATGTATAAAACAACAATTCTACAGAAATGTATGGTAATCTTATCATGATTTGATGGAAATCACACTGATTATATGAATATTAAATAGATAAACAGGATGCTACATTTTGTAATTTTTGAAATTGCAGACCAAAGGCCCCAAAGACAAAAGCCAGCTGTCTATGCTTGGAAGGGTCTCATCTGCAACTCAAAGTAAGTAGTCATGCTACTTTCAATGTCACCTTGCTGGTTACAGATTTTAAGGAGTCAGATCAGTCTACCTCTCTCTGTTTGTTACATGTATGTGTCTCAAAAAGTTTACTTCAAAATAGTTTTTAAACTGTCGCTGGATGGAATTTATTATTGTATGACTTTGTTCATCTGGCGTAAGTTTTATTTGTTTTGAAATCTCCATTCAAAGTGTTAAACTACCAATCTCTTTCAAAACTTGATAGGCATTTTCACCTTGCCATTCCTAAACAGTATTTTGATTTGACTGTTTTATGACTTTTTTTTCTTTTTTATTTTGCTAACATTTTTATAATGTTCAGAGCTTACTTCTCTCTCAGTTTTAACCAAAATATTTAAAACTTTACTATAAAAAAGAATCATATAGCACTGAGGTTTTAAAGAGTTATTGCCCTTTGTTCTTTTAAATTTTGCCTGGAAATCCTGTTCCTCCCTTGTCAAAAAATTTCTTTCAAACTTGCTAAACCTATATCATAAATTCATGTATTGACAAATAAATGTATGTATGTAATAAAAATGAAAAATAAATTGATTATGTTTTATTATCATTTCTGTCGGACAGCTGTATATTTTAATTGGCTGAACAATGTATGATTGTGTTGTTTTTCAGGAAGCCTTTGGACATCATTGAGAATTGTTGGTGTACCCATGCAGTAAGTAATCTAATAAGTTTCAGTTGAGACTACTGATTGTCTTGTTTGTCAATAATGGGATGGCTCAGATGTCTCATGAAATAATGATAGCTGTATTAACCCAGGGCTCATGATGTCAGTCGCCATCAGTGTAAATGGCGAAAATGAAAACTGTGGTGATTGAAAAATTGTATATGCAAAATTGCCAAAATACACTTATTTCAATGCTCCAATGACTAAAATAGCAATTTCTGGGCATGTCAAGCCTTATCAACCCAGACACCTTAACACTGACTTCATTATGTACATAAAGGGGTGTAATTTTCTCATTTCCTGCTCTCTCCTCAGGCTCATATCACAGGTGAGGGGCCATGGGGTGCCTAAGTATTTGTCTGCACTCTCAGACAATCACTGTACACATTCTTATTCTTAGTTAATAATCATTATTCTGTGATTATAATTTGGGACCATTACTTCAAAGACAAGCACTGTTTATAGCTGCCATTAATTTACGGTGTACTTACATCAGTATGATCTCTGTTTTAATAAAAAATATAGGCAGTTGGACCGCCGTTGTTACAGGGAAATACACATACTTTGCATAATTTTAAAAAATTGGAAATTGGTATCAAAATGCGGATTTTCAGCATAGATCAGTAAAAAAAGTAACATTAACTCATCAAATAATAAATCATTTCTTTAGCTGTGAAAAAAGTTTTTTTTTTCTTTTTTTTTTTTTTTTTTTGGGTTGTTTTATTGATTATTATTTTTTTTCCCTTCATTAAGCTGAAATAATTCTTTGAAAATATTAAAAGCTGTCAATAAATTATTGGACTTTATTTCTATCTATCGATATTCACTTACGGATTATTTATCCGTTTATTTTTATGGAAGCTTAAATAATTGTTTACAAAAATTGATTGTTGAACAAATATTTCCATATCTTTACAACTTCAGATTAAACTACTTAACCAAAAAAAAAAAACCCCATGAAAATAACACATGTTGATTAAGCTGTCCTATATCAATTATTACTTATTGTACCAAATGGGTAGGGATGAAGGTATGCAGAATCAACTGACATTTCTGTTGCACGAAACCATTACCAGTTTTCAAAAAATAAAGATTTTGGCGAATCAAAATTTAAAGCCAGAGCTAGCCCTGTTAACCTATATGTTAATAAGGAAATATAGCCAGATTTATTGAAGGTGAGCTGAAACAGGGAATGGTCAAGTTTTGATATAAAATATTAAATAATGAGACACATGTATAAAATATTCTCTACATCCAGGTTGCAAAATTTAAATTTATGAAAACAATATTTGGTCATTTTGAAAGTAGGTCACTAAAATTTTTACCACGGAAAGTTACCAGTTATACATTGCAGTATGTCAAATGCAATTCAGATTTCCATCAGAGTTCTTTTGTCAATGTCCAATGGTAGATCAGGCTTCATTGTATTAATTAGTGGTAGCACAGCGTATAGGTCCTGATTCTCATGTCAAGCACAAAGAACACTTCGAAAGGTGATATATGGATTGCTCAAGTCCTGTACATTTGTACAATTATTTAAGAAAATATGATTTAGGTGGAATAGGTTAAAAGATCCATTATAAGAGTACACTAATCTGATGATATGTTTTGCTTTGTTTAACATCTATTTTGTCTAATTGTAGAAGTGCCAGTCCATGTTCTTTACCAGCAGGATTACTTAAACTCATAAACAGTGAGATAAATTGGCACATTGCTGTTGGAAGGTACTTTCTTTGTATGTGTATGTGGAGAGTGTATTCTTAAATGTGCTTTATACAGGAATAATGTTATCATTGTATTTTCATAAAATTTATACTTTAATTGTTGTAAAGATAAAACAGCGTTATTTATTTTTAAGAAATGATGATGTTATGATTACTGTTGATAATAATGTTTTATTTTGTTCTGTAGCCTCTTTGTTTTGAGAAACTCAATCTCAATATTTGGATATGTGTCTGTATTTATTTCACTGTATGACACATATAATACAAAAATTCATCAGAAGAATTACAAAAAAGGAAGATTTCATCGAAAGTGAAGAAGAAATGAAAAACAAATATTCTAGAAGAGGATCTTGTGAAAAAAACTTTCAGAAAACAAAATGCTGATGATTTCATTTACATTTCAGGAATGCTGAGGTTGTGGCTATCCTTCAGGACCAATGTGTAGAAATAAGGTATAGATGAATGTCATGCATGGATATGTAGATGTTTCATAGAACAGGCCTCCATGGAAAGATTTGAGAATAATAAGATTATATCATTTACAATAGGGGAAAAAAAGAATAGTGTTATAAACTTGTCTCACTATATTTCTGAAGAGATCTCAAAAGAATTTTTTTCTCTGTAAGCATGCTTTGTTTTCAATGTGTTGAGTAATGAAAGTGATTGTCCTACATGACACCAAAATGATGCTAATAGATTGTTGAAACTTCAAAAAAAAATAATATTTTTTTAAAAATTATGACACTGAAAAAGGAACTGTTAAAAGTTTTTTTTCACAACCGAAAACCCAAGCATATTTGATTTTGGTGACTTTATAAATGATGCTGTACATGGTTTCAGTAAAATTCTTGACGTAGTGAGAATATCATCAAAAAGCTAAAAATATAACCTGCATCATCCTGTATTGGTATTTGCCTTGGCTCCACAGGTCAAGCAATAATGCTTATGAGACAGTAGTAGGTCGTGGTGTTGTGCAGCGGGATCCATACCCTCAGTGGCGCTGTGTAGCTTGGAGTGCAGACAACACCATGGTGGCCTGTTCTCAGAGTGATGGCACTGTGGATGTGTTTGATATGCTAGGGGCTCGGTTGTTTACCATTCAAGGGGTATGTTTAATGTATACAGATTATAAGATCAGTTGATATTAATTCAGAAATAAAACTTTTTTTGTGTAGTATTATTCCCTTTCTCATTCTGTAAGTATTTGCCTCAAATTATCAAATTATATTAGTTTTGGAGGATTGTCTCATGTTTGCCTTTTGGTGTATGCCTATGAAGTAAGATTATCGATTTTTAAATTGTCTTTGATGTTGTTTATTTATAGCATAACAGACTGGAAAATATTTTTACTAATTTAATAATTTAAGATTGATGTTCTTTTTTATTTTTTCTTTCACTTCTACAATCATATAATCATAGAACTCTATATTTTCATGGGAGCACAGTTTTCTTGGTTTTTTTTTTCTTTTTTTTTTTTAAATACTACTATTAACACTGATTTTGTGGATAAACAATGCTCAATAAAACTAGATATTTTTGTGGATATATGAACTTGTCAATTAAGAGTTCCAATGAAATCAGTAATTAAATTGATTTCCTTTGAATGTTTTAAAAGATGTTCTCAGAAATATCAGTTTCTGATATAAACAGCAGTGCATTAAGGTTCTTTTGCTCAAAAGTAGAGAACATAACTACATATTATACAAGCATTCTTCTTGAAATGTCACTTATATTTATTTTGTATTCTTTTCTGTTTGACAAGTAAAGTTTCGTCTTGTATACTATGAACAAGGGTTTGTTTTATATAAACTCTGTCCTGTCTTCTGTCACTCAGTTGATTAAGAGTGGGGAAACTTACGCAGCAGTGTAAATGATACAGGGAAGATGTAACAGAAAATGTTTTAATGACACTATATCTACTTGTAGCAGGCACCCAATGAAAATGGACAACCATTGGAGCTGAGTTGTGCAGTGGCAGGCATGCTTTTCACTGACACCATTCCCAATCCACCATGGTAATTTTAGATCTATTTTCAAATTTGACATTTTAGATTTGATTTTTGAAAATAAGATTAAAATTAGTAATTGGTAATTCACAAAATTTCAATTGTAGTTATGTAAGATTTAAGATTTTGCCAACACTTTTGAAGAAATGTAACAAAAGCTGTTGCTCTCAGCTCTAAGTCTTAAAAATAGTATTTTCAACATTACATCAAAGAGCAAAATTATATTTTTTCATGGAAGAAGTGATGAGTTGCTCAGATTTGCCATTCTTATTTTTTATGATAAATTGATCATTTGTAGGCATGCAGAACTTCTGGTAGTGAACTATCATGGAAGTTTACACAAGTATTGGGTTGGGCGTGATGAAGGATATGAGGCTCAGCACAGCTTTTTGTTTAATCAGCAGTATCCACTTGGTATAAGCTGTGTGGAATACCACTCAGGAGCTCAGCTCCTCCTTGTAGGTGGAGTGGGTTGTGATGACACCCAGTCTCCCTCCCAAGCCCGACAGGAGGGACTTACAGCCTGGAGAATCCTCTCTGGTCCTCCCCACTACAAACTGGTGACAGATTACAAGGAAGATCTGCATCAGGTATTTCATACTGTGAAAAAAATAATTACAGGATACCTCCTTGTTCAAAAGAATTTGTGTCAAACTCTATTTAATGGTTACCTAGCATTGTTCATTAAAACTACTACCACCTTAACAAAACATAGTCTCTTTGTCAATTTAGTTATTGTGTAAAAATTTAGTTTTAATGACAGGGATATGTCAATGGCCTAAAGTCATCCACTTAGATTTTAATGGCCTTGAGTCTGTCGTGTGATTTTATGGCCTTGAGTCAGTCATGTGATTTTAGTGGCCTTTAGTCATCCACTTAGATTTTAATGACATTGAGTCAGTCGTGTGATTTTAATGGCCTTGAGTCAGTCATGTGATTTTAATGGCCTTGAGTCATTCACTTAGATTTTATAAGCCTTGAGTCAGTCATGTGATTTTAATTACCTTGAGTCAGTCATGCAATTTTAATGACCTTTAGTCATTCACTTAGATTTATTAGCCTTGAGTTAGTCATTTGATTTTCCTGACCTGAAGTCATCCATAAACAAATTTAGATTCCGAGAGATTGACATAATGTGTATCAGATATAAAGAGATGTAAAACAAAAAGATAACAAGAAGGCAACTTTATACCAAGAACATTTGTTGTTTTCAGTCAAAGCAAGGAAGGTCATTTTTTGGGAAGTTTAAATCCAAACTACGACTGAGCAGCAGTGAAAACCAGGTGAGATTAAGTTATAAAAGATTTCTATGAAAGAAACACTTGCATCCCTAAAATATATATTATGAATCTGCTTTCATGATAACTGTTTCTTTCAATAAAACTAGCTGATGTAGTCCTATACCTTTCTTGACAACAACCTCCAGTATATATGTATGTAAGGAAAATGAAATCGTGGGAGAAAAATGATCAGTCATCTCTGTTTGATGTAGACAGACTTATCTTGAATCTCTCTTTGATTATATAAAGGTTGAGCACTCTGATTTTTTACATTAAAGAATGACCTTTGGGTTAAGAGATCTCCATATCACACAGATTGATGATGTTTGTCTCATAGATATGCTTACTTCATTGTCTGCCACTACCAGACATATTACTCTTAACATACATGTATTACCTACCTCAATTTTGTTTACAGGATGGCGTTTATAAGATGTGTCTCTCTCCGGACACAAAAACGCTTGCAACAATTCACCAGTCAGGAAATCTAACTTTGTGGCATATTCCATCACTTAAACAGTATAGACAATGGACTCATGATGAACAGGTGGGAATCAGTTAAATTTCTAGTCTGACATCTAGTATATTTCTAATTGTTTGAAGCTTGAAAATTCATTATTGCACCTGCAAATCTTTATATTTTATCTCTGTCACTCCATGGAATTTGGAATAACTTGAAACTTAAGGCATGGAATGATATTTCAGAAACTTGCATAATACGTACTGGAAATTGCAAATAAATTTTTATTTACCATGGAGACTTAAATTTAGGAAAAAACTCCTTATAGACTTAGTGATATTTTCATTTTTATTGGAATTGATAATATTTCTGTTATTGACAAATTTTGCTTTGTATCATTTTTCCTGCTATTACAAAGTGTATGACATTACGGGAAATACACTGCTTAAATTGAAACTACCATATGCTTACTTCTTTAGTAGTCAATAACTTCTTCAGTTTAGTGTTCAGTGAATTTAAAAGATATTCTTGATATAATTGAACTTTAGCCCTGCTTATCCTTTAAACTTTGTATGGAAATTGGGTCTTGCACTCCACTTCACAGAGTTTTCGCCCCATGTTTATCTTGATACCAAAATTTTGAGGAAATCCAATGATTACTTGCAGTCTTCTGTTTTACCTTATTTTGAATTTGTGATCTTCCTTTTTCAGCCTTTTAGTGATGAATACAGCCCAGATTTTACAGAAAACCCACAGAAGAGGAAGATATTAAAAGGTGATTTCATCTGAATAACTAGACATGATAACTGGTTAATCAATTTCCTTGTGTAAATACCTAGAAATGTGTAATAAGTTACCAACTTTAAAATTGTATATTCTGCCACCTGTTCAGCAGATCACCTACAAGTTCTGGTTTGCGATGATCCAAGTTGAATTTTATATGTTCGAAAAACATTATATATGTACATCTATTTGAATTACAGATTTTTAAACATTTTACTGTTGGATGCCTACTGTAAAACAATACAGTCACTTTTCATGTCATTTTTATTTCAATTTTTTAAAAAAGAAAAAAAAATCAGAAATTAAAATGTAATTAAGAAAAAAAAAATATGTAAAAAAAGAAAAAAAATCCTCTAATAATCAAATTTGAAAGTTAAAATTTATGCTTAAATCAATGTTGATTTTAAAATAATTTTTCAACTCAACAGATTTGGTGTCCTGTAAGAATTTGATTGATGTTAACTGGTGGAATAATGAGGTAAGCTATATGTTTGACCTTGCCCTATCTGGTATTGACTCATTAATTTAGACCAAGGTTGGTAGTATAGTGAATATTAATACATATATCAGACAAATTACTTAATCAGTTTTTTAGGCTTGTCCAGAGATGGCTGGGCTGTTACAATGTTGTCAAATGTCAATATAACATTCATACCACTACGTCTCCAGCTGAGACCTTGTCAAAGTTAAACGAGACTTGATACAAGAAATTTGATTTAAAATTGTTTACGTGGAAATATTAAACATTTGCTCTGTAGAGCTATTTTTACAACAAACAAAGTTAAAGAAAGGAAACATAATATAAAAGTCACATATACCAGATATATTTCTGTGCTCTTAGCTGTTAACTGTCAATATAACCTTGATACCACTTTGTTTCAAGATGTAAACCGCGTCCAGAGGTATCGCAGCTTTTTCAGTTTCTTCAGGTGTCAGTATATACTTAATACCACTTTGTTTCAGGCTGTGACCTTGTCTAGAGGTAGCAGATACACCATAATTCTTTGTCCATAATAGTCAACATAACCCTGATATCACTATGGTACAGGCTGTTACCTCGCCCAGAGGTATCGCAGCTTTTTCAGTTTCTTGAAGTGTCAGTATATACTTAATACCACTTTGTTTCAGGCTGTGACCTTGTCTAGAGGTAGCAGATACACCATAATTCTTTGTCCATAATAGTCAACATAACCCTGATATCACTATGGTACAGGCTGTTACCTCGCCCAGAGGTATCGCAGCTTTTTCAGTTTCTTGAAGTGTCAGTATATACTTAATACCACTTTGTTTCAGGCTGTGACCTTGTCTAGAGGTAGCAGATACACCATAATTCTTTGTCCATAATAGTCAACATAACCCTGATATCACTATGGTACAGGCTGTTACCTCGCCCAGAGGTATCGCAGCTTTTTCAGTTTCTTGAAGTGTCAGTATATACTTAATACCACTTTGTTTCAGGCTGTGACCTTGTCTAGAGGTAGCAGATACACCATAATTCTTTGTCCATAATAGTCAACATAACCCTGATATCACTATGGTACAGGCTGTTACCTCGCCCAGAGGTATCGCAGCTTTTTCAGTTTCTTGAAGTGTCAGTATATACTTAATACCACTTTGTTTCAGGCTATGACCTTGTCCAGAGGTACTGGAGCTGTTACTGTGTCCTCAGCTTCTACATTGAAAAACCTTTTAGGTACATCTCCAGAGTGGTTTGAGCCGTCCTCAAGGGTATCAGCAGTGCATGATGGTGGATTCCTAGGATTAGAAGTAAGTAAAGTTTCCATGATGAAGCTGATGATACCCCCTACACTGTAAGCATTTTATGTGGGGTTCAGTTTTCTTTTTTCAAAAAAGTCTTCATTCGTGGACACTGTGTTATAGATAAATATACCTCAAAATTTCTGCATATACTAATTTTAACTATTCATGGATATATGAATTTGTCGATTTGAGTACTCACAAAATAAATGTAAATAAATCCTCCTCAAACATTCCTGGTTTTACAGTACTGTCTTCTATTTGGTTTAATTTTTGTAGCATATAATACATTATTGATAATCAAGTTTATCTAAACTGCCATCTTGATATCAGGATATTTAACCTGATATTTGATAAAACCTGCTGTATCCCATCAATTACAGGTCCTTATTTATAACAAGGTACAAAATTGTGTTGTGTCAATTAAGAGACTGCTTCTCTCAGTCAGCTGGCAAGCAGTCTGTTTACCTTTATTAGGAATCTCTGTGAAGCAAGTGTCACGATTCAGCAATCATTTCTGTCTCAATTATTTTAATACAAGCGTGACTCTCTATAATAATAGATTGTTCTTTTTCAAATTTCAATTTTATAATTTAAATACTAGACCAAAGGAAACACTGTTAGTAATGTTATAAAATTTGATATCTCACTGTATGTGAAGGAATTTTCCTTTTATGGTATCCTAGAACATTACCAAAATGTTTCATGAGATATTCTAGAATTTTGGGAATGCTACCCATTATGGAAAAAGGGGAATTTTTGGTCTATTTTGAGGAAAAGTGGAGTTTCAGAAAGCCCTTTTAGTCAGAATTCAATAGAAGAATAGAGTAGAAATATATGACATACATAAAGATTACATAAAAAATATGACGATGTTGAGATTAAATTGATATTTCTTTTTCATGATGGCATGATTTGAAAATGTTTAAAGTAAAATATATTAATTGACTCTGTTTGAGAGAAAGTTTTCATTTTGGGGAAACTTCCACATGTTTTATGTTCAGAGATGACAACAGATCATTTGTGGAATACTAACCTTTTCTGATAGTCAAATTGTCAAGATTAATCCCTGTGTAATGGAAATTAAATTACACAAGGTCTTATTGAATTTGCTATTTCATAAGCTATAAACACAAAGCATGGTCAATGAGCAATATGCTAGAAAAATTCTTATGAAACTCTGTAAATGTTGATACAGGTAGAGAACAAGTTCCGACAGAAACGTCGTCTGATGAATGAGGAGGATGCAGAAAATGATGACAGTGACGAGGAAGAGGATTCCAGATGGGTTACAGCTTTTTTAAGTAAAAATGTTCTGTCCTACTTTCGTGATATTGAACGGTTCCAGCCTCCCAGGAAACGTCCCAAGTAAGAAGCTATGAAATCTTATATTGTGGGTACAGAATGGATTGTTGTATAAAATAAACTTGGAAAAAAAAATATATATGAAATATGATGGACAGGAACTAAAATGTATGGTTGATTTTAATGATGAAGATAAAGGTTTATTTTCAATTTTATTTACTACTGCCAGGTACTGTTCACTCAGTATTATAGTACAAAGGCATGCACCTCAGTAAGAATCTGCCAACCTCATTATGTTCCTTCTCAAAGATCATAGTTGATCCCTCTGTTTTTGTCAAAGATGAAATCTGATCGATGTCTTATATTTAATTTTTTGACAAGGAAGATATGTTTTCAACAATTAAATTTACTTCTTTACCTGTTTTGTTAATTAGGACAGCAACTGAAAAGTTAATTAATCAGGTTTCACATTCTGCATTGAATTTGATTTCAAATCATTAGTGAATGTAGGAGTGATATAAGTATGTAAACTTTGTTAGAACCACTGACAGTTGAAAACTAGTCCTTTGTGGAAGAATGAGATATTTTGTAATATTCTGATCTAAAAGATCAGATATAAAGATTAAGAGGTTACATAGACCTGAAGGGAACTAACACTTATTGATTGATGTTGTTTTGTACTTGAGGATGGTGAACAGAACCTACAGATTGGTATGTCTGAAGTCTACCACTCCTGAAGAACTCTATACCAGAAAGGTAAGTCTTTGTTTCACAATTTTTCCACTCCTGAGTAACTGTATACCAAAAGTAAGATTTGATCTTAAGTTAGAAAGTTAAGTCTTTGTTTCACAAGTTTTCAACTCCTGAGGAACTGTAACTTAAAAAGTGAGTTTTTCTCTTAGACTTACCAAACCTAACAAACTGTACATAAAAAGGTAAATTTTTGTTTCAAATTTTCTTCTTCTGTTCTGAAGAACTGTAAAAACTAAAAATGAGTTTTATCTCAAATTTACCCACACCTGAGGAACTGTGTACAAGAAGGGTAAGTTTTTGTCTAAAATTGCCAAAATTCCTTAAGAAATTTATATCAGAAAGGTGAGTGTTTATCTTTGTCTCAAATCTGCCACTCATGAAATTGAAAGGAAAAAAAACAAAATGTGTTACTGGCTTTCCTTTGCTAATTATTTGAAACAAATTTGAACATCTAAGTGATACTGTAAATTCTGTTTTATCGACAGATTGAGCTGGAGGAGTATGGTGAGGCATTAGGTCTTGCTAGGGCGTACAACCTTGACTCGGACAAGGTTTATCAGCGACAGTGGAGAAAGTCAGAGGTGTCTAAGGCTTCCATTCAAGACTATTTGGTAAGTACTCTCTAATGATAGTTTCCCTGTGGCATATTTGTTGCCAGGGAAATGTAAATCTATTGGTGATATTTTTGTAATCAAAATTTAGCTGATACAGGAAAAGTAGTATAACCATTGGTAATTACCGTATTTTACCACAAATAAGCCCCCCCCCCCCTCCTCCGAAGGGGTGGGGGCTTATTTGCGGGCAATCCCCCTGTTCACGAGATGTATGAGTGTCCGCCATCTTGGATTTTTCATCATAAGGAATGATAACTTGGCCTATCTGTCATCAAAAATAACCCAAAGACAAAAATAGGATCAATAATTTTCAAGGTTTCAATTTTCTTTGGCAAAAGTGCACAGGAATAGATTCAAGTACTGCTGACTTTTAAAATTTGTTGGCATAATAATAGATAGTCCACCGCACCACCACTGTTTCACTGCTAGATAGATCATAGTCAGTATATAAGATAAAGCTTATCTTTTTGAGAAACCAGATTTGATATTTAGAACAATGTACAAAAACTCTGAAATATATCTTATAGTGTGTCATTGTGTCATTTGGGGAATATATGTTTTTCTTAGTGAGTGTATACTTTTTGTAGGGGACAACATCTCTGTTAGGACTGAATTTGACTTTTAAATATGAATCTATTTCAGAGTAAGATCAAAAAGAGAGGTTGGGTCCTCCATGAATGTCTGGAGAGAATGCCTGAAAATATTGATGCTATGAAGGAATTGCTGGAGTTTGGTTTACGAGGAACAGATCTCCAGGCTCTCATTGCAATAGGCAAGGGAGAAGATGGAGGGCGGTAAGTAGGGAATGTGAACAGTACAGTAGATATGCTGTCAGATGTGGAGATAATCAACAAGTGGTTAAGGCATCTGACTGTCTTTTTCACTTTCCTACTGGGCCCCAGGTTAGAGGCCTACGTGGGGCAGTCGTTAGGTACTGGTTTTTCTCCGGAACTCTGGCTTTCCTCCACCACTGAAACCCGGCATGTTTTATAGGATGTAAAGCAACAAAAAACAAAAAAATAAACTGATTGTATTATGTACTGGAGACAACTTAGGGTTACACAACAGAAGGTGTGCCAAGATGTATGACAAGGCATATACTGTATACTGGGAAATTTTCACCTCTGTTTAATTATTTCTCTCTTTGTCCATAACAAGAATGGCAAATTTAAGATGGGGAAAAATTGATTACTCTTTTTATGTAACATTTTATGTAATCCTCCAAGAGCGAAATGAACATGAGGTGAATTCATGTATAATCATTATGGTACAAGTGCAAAAATATCCCAATACATAGTACCATAATCTTTTTCATTTCAAATGTTGTAAATTAAGATTAATTGAAATCTTGTACTTTACTATTAGAATTATAACCCATTTTTTGTACTTTACCGTTTTGTTTGAGACATACTGATTGTATGTAAATTGTTCACAAAATGTAGATACTAAATATAGCATGCCTCATGACATTTTGTATAGGTTCATCCTGTGTGACCCAGAAGAAGGACTGTATGCAGATATGTCTTTGGATGAGTTTGATCCTGAAACAGAACATATTAGGGAAGAAATGAAAGAGAAAAGGAGGATGGAATTAATGGAACAAGTTGATTTTTCAAAGTTAGTTGAACTTACTACAGTTATACAATTCAATTTTAAACTGCTTTCAAATTAGTTGAAGTCAATATACCATATTCTACCTATTTACCCCTATAAGCACACCCCACCTTTATTTAGGGAAAGAGGATTGGTGCACCTGTTTTTACATTTTTTCCACAGAGATTTCAAGTGGAGACTTATCTCTGTGTATTGTTTTATTTAGTGCACAGTGTGCTAATTAAGTTAAATACAGTAATATATAATGTCAAATTACATGTTTTCAGTCGTTGTATGAATTTGATTTAAGACAGAAAATTGTGTAATTTTTTCTATTTTATGCAGGGTCTAATATTGTATGTCTTTTATTTCCTATATATTCAAATGCAGACAGTTTAGAGATTCAAGTCCCTGTATGCCATATATAATTGCAAATATCATGACTAGTAACAAATTTGGATAAGCTCCTAGGCCTACAATAATGAGTTCCATCAACCACGTGGTAAATGGTAGAGATAGTTTCATGAAAATAGCAGCATTGTCTTTGTTCATGGTTACTCTTTATCCTCGAATTTATATGTTCATGAAATGATAACAGATAAAAATTGAATGGATAAAAGTACTAGTGGATTTTGTGTGGAATATTTATTCATGAAATCATTAAGACAAGTACCAACAATTATGTAAATTTTTCTAAAACCACAAAATTTGAGTCTGATGAAATACATTTAATTTATTCTAAAGTACACACATATATATCTGTTATCACAAAACAAGTCCTGTTCATTATGAAATTTAATTTGTGATCTGTCAATCAGAAAGAAACCTTTATAGCATATTTTATATTTTTGTCTTTTAGTTTAAACTTGGAGCAGAAAGAGTTGTGTAGAGTTCGTTTCAAGCTTCTTCAGTACCTAGATCGGTTGAGAACGTATGAGGTAAGAAAATAATCAACATCTGCTCGTAAATAGACTGTCAATGTAAACTTTCATTTATCAAATGGTAGCTTTGTTATTCAGTGAATATACCCATGTGTCATAATGTCACATGTGCAACATATAAATCGTTTATTGTGACATCACTTTAGATAACGAAACAACGTCACATCCACTGGTGACATTGTGATGTAACAGTGAGGACCATAGATAGAGGACATGACTTAAGGTTTGGTGTAGAAAAGTCCATTTTTCATGTGATAAAAAGGATTTGCTTCCATTTGATGTATAATAATACAGTCAAACTTTGATATTTCAAAGTTCAAGAGACTACCAAAAATACTTTGATACATCGAGACTTCGAATCATGTGTGATGGGTTGTATCTATGTTTTCATGTTCATGGCCCTATATAGTTAATGACACAATATTTCTACTTTAACAAACACAACAAATACTAAAACACAAGATTAAATGAAAAGATGCATTTTCATCTTTACACAAAACATTTTCATTCATGAAGAAAAACATAACTTTAGATAAAAATCAATGTGAAATCGATCTTTCATGTTACACAGTATATGTATTTTACAGGTAAATTTTTAATGAAACGATGCGCAGCATTAAAGTGGTCTTTATGTGTTACAGTAATTATTTTAAGACTGATATATAAATGTTATAGGCACAAATGAATTTGAAAGAGAGTAAAATTAATATCATAATGTATTCTATCCAGAAACGGCAGCACTAACATCACACATCTTCGTCTGTAGAAATTACAAGAGTGTTTGCCGATGTTCTGAAATCATCATACAAGTGATAGGATATTCTACGATTGTTTTCAAAATTCCGTAAATTAGACCAAACTAAATGTCATCACCACAATGGTGGCGGTGAACATCACACAACGTCCCATTACCTTTTATTAAAGATCATGGCTTGTAAGTTAGCAATTAAATTTAAATCTGTGTTAAGTCGTTAATTAACCCAGTAAAACAGAAATAATTATAGTGGATTATCGTTATCCCATTGAAAGGCAACTCCCATCATTGAAATGTGTAAGATTTTGCTGCAGGACAAAAATACCTGTACAGTACAGGTCAGTTTTTTGGTTTGAATCATGAGGTGTCAATGACGATGTTATCATAGCTTACAATCCAAGAAAAAACTTTGATACATCAAAAAGTTTGATTTATAAAACTTCATTTCATAAGGGGTTACATTAGTAGTAATATATAGGAATAAAATTTTGGACCGAACAAAAACTTTCATACATCAAGATATTTGAATTATCTATTATTTAAGGTTGCCGAATGCTCCTTAAAATAAAAAGTGTGATGACTTGTTTCAGAAATTCACATATCATTGGAAACTCATTAACTATTCATTTAATTTTAACCCTTATTTGATATTGGTGAACTTTAGATAATTTTGTCAATAACTAGTAAGTATTTAAAGTTGTATATCTGAAGACAATTTCAGTGGCTATTTCTTTTTGTCTATAACAGCTCATACTTGGAGGAGAAGCAGCTGCAGTCTCCAGGTTCAATGATAAATTTTTTGAGAAATTTCGTTCTCAAAATATTGTTGAAGCAGCAGTGAATTATGCACAGGTAAGGCTTTTGTAACAATTAAAAAATCCATAGTGTTTTAACATATAGTGAAACCCTTGTCGGCCCATCCTGATGTGTCCTATACTGTCTCATTCTGGGTCAATGACATATCTTGAGAAAGTCACAAAAGATTTGGTTCATATTTTTCCCTCAGTATCATAACATCAAGTTCTATACCTCATCAAATTAAAATGGACATCTGTCAAAAAAAAAAAAATCATATATATGTATTTATATGCAAGACAGTGGGGGGGGGACATTCTTGTCTTATTGGAATTTTCTAGTTTAATGCAAATATCAGTATATGAATGCTCAAAGAAATGATGAAAGCAGTATTCATGAAATATTTCTAAAATTGAAACTTCTTGCATATGGTCAAGTTATACATTTTTGTTGATAAAAAATTAATGGTTTTCCAAAAATATACGTTTTTGTTGGTTCTTGATTTTACGGTTATATCTTGCTTACTAAATCCACTAGTACTAAACGTATGTAAACTTTTATTGTGTATCATTTCATGGACATATAAATTCAAAGTTTTAGAGTAACCACTCCTTCAATTAAATTAAATACCTCCCCCACCCCAATATTAATGATATTACAGTGTCTGGTTGAAAGAAAAGCTGTATACCGTTATATAACATCATAAGTAAATCAGATATTTTAGTTTACCTGGTGTACCTGCTTAGATTTCCATTCTAACTTTTGTTCTCTTATAGCATGGTGACTGGAAAGCACTGGAACACCTGTTCACCTATCACGGCGAGACCCTGAAACCTCACAGGTAAACTCATAAACTCTTAATTTTGTCTATCTTACAGCTAATTATGAAACAAGTTCTCTCATAATTGAAATAGTAATAATCACTTGTGTCAGCCCAGATTCAGTTCAGTTCAGTTTATTTACTTTAAACCTTACGGTTTATCAGTACAGTGCAAGATGGAAGTAGGCATCTTGTGTGGGAGAAAACAGCAGTAACAGAGGTAACAACAAAAGAGAAACCCATACCTTTTAACATCCAATCTAGGAAATGCATTACTATTGGGCCGCTGGATCATCCTCAAATATTTGACAGACATGAAATTTTCCCTTTTTTCCTTTCTCCAATATTAGTGATGTGGGTGACTAGAATTATTATTAGAGATGTTTATTTTATATGTAACTAGTAATTAAATATTACATCAATGACATTATTTCATAATTAGTTTATTGTAAATTTCTAAATGTTTTGTCTGAAATAATTCCTGCACAGTAATATAGTTTATTGTGTACTTGATTGTTAAATTAATATAAAATGTTGAGTTGTTTGGTAAATAAATTTAAAAGTCTTTCATCATAAACTAATTCTCTATCTGTTGTAGAACTGTACAGAGTTAAATATGTATTATGTATTAATATTACTACAATGAATACAACAGTTCTCTTTATAGATTTATTTTATCTTAGCTTATACACCATATCAATGTTAATAACTAAATTTTACATACAGTGTGTTAGTCACAACATGGAAGGACAAAGAAAAAATTGACATGTTTCTAGTTTTAACTCTCAACTAGATTTTACAGTATCTATCAGGCAGATATTTTATTTTGTTGAAATAAAATATTAATTGACATTACTGATGCATGATGGTCTTTCATAATACTGAATAAGTTGCTAGATAAGTGACAAGTATTGTTATAAACATTTTGTCAAAAAATAGAGAAATCCTATCCTTATTGATAAAATGTTGGATTACAGGCTTGCTGTGTTGTCAAACTTCCCCGAAACAACTTGTCCAACAGAGTACCGAGATTTGTTACCGGAAGTTGTGTAAGTACAAACATATCTACTATATTTATCCCACAACAGACCTGGTGGTCAAGTTAGTACCTCAGACCATGGGCTAATTACTGTATGACAGGTCAATGGATTGATTAAATACTTGCTGACCACTCTGGCCAGCTATAGATAAGGGTGGGCTTATTACTGGACATGAGCTTACTACTGTATGACAGGTCAATGGATTGATTTATACTTGCTGACCACTCTGACCAGCTATAGATAAGGATGGGCTTATTACTGAACATGGGCTTATTACTGTATGACAGGTCAATAGAATAATTATATATTAGCTGACCACTCTGACTAGCTATAGATAAGGGTGGGCTTATTTCCAGACATGGGCTTATTGCTGTATGACAGGTCAATGGAATAATTATATACTTGCTGACTACTCTGACTAGCTCTAGATAAGGATGGGCTGAAAACTGGACATGGGCTTATTACTGGACAAGTAACTATGTAAATTATACTATCTTACCAAAAATACTTGTTTAGTTTTTAAATCAGTTGTACTTATATATACATATTTGTTTAAGGTCACTGTGAGTGTGTGACAAGCTTTACTAGATGAATACATATGATGATAAAAGGGAGACCGCATAGTTACTTATTTAATCACAAACAATCAGGATGAGTTGAAATTATGGTTCCTTTATCTAACTCATAATAATGATGTAAATTAAATTAAATTTTTTTGTTGTGAAAAATTTAAGGGAAAGACCTAGTTAATACTGATACCTCAGTAGATGTAATTTTCAAATTATTTTCTGAACTTTTGTCTCATTGACATTGGTAAAGTATGTAAATACTTGTTTGGGTTCTATAAGGAAATTAACATTGATAAAATGGGTGACAATTTAGACTGTACATCTAAGTATGAACATAGGAAACAACTCGAAAATTAAAGATAAAAATTATCTCTGACAGAGCATTGGATGAAAGATTTGACAATACTACCCTAGTTAATATCACCTGTATACTTTTCTTTGTGGCAGAGATGACAGTGGTGTGCTCCCTCTAGAGGAGAACAGCTGGCGTGAAACAGACTGGTGCGAGACACCACAGTGCAGGTACTAACGTTGTCCAGTAAATTTTATAATTAAGTTGGTACTTGATAGTTATATAGGACAAACACAAGCATTTCATTGACTTTTACAGCTACAAAAATAATGTATAATAAGCACTGCATAATAATATCATGTCAGATGATATATTTAACTTAAGATATGAACAGAATAGTTTTAAAAAATGTTTTTTACAGTCACACAGTTACCTCAAGTTGTATCTGAAACATATTGATAATAACTTTAAATGTTTTTGTTTGAATATTTGTAGTGAGTTGTTAACCTGTTACATTTGTATGATATGCAATATGTAAGTTGATTCCAGGGATGGCATGGCCATATTGATAAGGAATTTCTTAATCTTTCAACTTCACAGGTGTGTTGTTGAACCACTACAGGTAGATTTAGGTGAATTTTTGTACGAAGACAATGCCAACTTGTCCCAATTCAGGTAAGTACATCAAGTATTAATTAAATTGTATGAAGAATTCATTATTATTGAATCATGGTTCCTTTAATTGAACAACCATGTAGTGTTTTATTTTTGTGGGGATGAGATTTTTGCTAGTTCAGGGTACAATAGTGTAACAGTGAAAATTTTATTTGTGAAATAACGAAAAACATATATTAGATGTCTTTTTACGTCCAGATCGCAATATTGATTTTTTTAAACATTCGTTTGTAATTCAATCATTTTAAAAGAAAAATTTGATCATTTTGACTTAAAAAATTACCATCTATTCAGTAGCTCAAAACTCTAAATTCAAACTTATAAAGACTTGTATTCTAATCTAGATAAAAATATTGTTCAATGCCAAATCATTAGCTCTTAAGTTACAATTTGATGTAATTGGTGTGGTGCTATTGTTAAGTCCAGATTAATCAGATTGATTTGTTTATTTACATCAAATACAGAAAATCAATTTCCAGATTAAAACACAACTGTATTTAAATCAAAATTTCAACAAAATTCAATGTTTAACAAATTATCAATATAAATAGATTTTGTGAATATTACAAAATGACTAGCTAAACCTAAAAAAGGAAAATTTTAACATGTCCATTTTTTTTCTATCGTATAATGTAGATGTGACGAGATACCTGCGGAATTACTGACCAGGTGGTACAGATACCGTGCATTTGAAATAGAGGCCATGTCCTTACAGGTAGAACATGCCATCAACCTTGTTAAATTGGCAGTGGAGCGTGGTGTACAGGTGAGAGAAGATCATTCTTGTATAGCACTGTGCTAACATATCAGGTAGTGTTAGCTGTTTTCCAAGTCATTACAGTTGTAATCCAAAGTTTTGCTCCAGTTCACCCAGAGATGGAAGACATTGGATTTCTTTCAATTCTCTCAACATAATTTCTTGTTGATATTGTAAGTCACATGTATATTGATCAAAATTGCTTTTGATTGGGATTCTACACATCACATTCTTCATGAAACACGATTTAATAATTATTATCCTTTATAAGTGGACACAATAAATTAAGAAATCCAGTGATCTGCCATTTGATGAAATATTAAGATCCCTAACTTTTTTGGTTAATTGAATAAATTGTGTTTTGCAGTAGGATATCCAAAGTGTGTTCTAATTTTTCTATGATGGGATGATGTGATTTGTGTTACAGGGCCTAACTGATCTTCTAGATGATCTGGTTACCATGGAAATGCTGGTTTATGACTGCCATTTAGAGGAGACGGTGACCTTTGAGGCTGTTACAAAAATGGCAGACTATGAGAAACTTGAACTGATAATGTCAAAGGTGGGAGATACTTTTGATACATGGAGTGACTACTACACCTAAATGGATTACCTTGTTATATTCCATATTGTCATACTGTCAGTTTGACAAATGGGTTTGAGTATTTGGTTGTTATTAAAGACTTTGTAAGTCTGATTTATATACATAGTGCATTAGGAAGAAGAATTATAAAGATTGTCTCTAGGGTGGGGGACTGACATCTTTTCAACTGGAGCTGGGCACTAACGTTTGACTAAAGTGAAATTCTCACAAGCTTAGACTCTATGATAGCATATCCAGAATATTGTCTAAAGATGGTTTAAGAAACTGAAGTGAAGCTTAAAGTTTGTACATTAGTTTGATGTTTAAACAACATGGAATACAAAGAAAAACTGCTGATCATGAAAAGTTAAACAATCATTGAGGAAAATTTCTGGTACTTTTCTTCCACATGTAGTCAACTGAGGAGATGTATGTTAAGAATCTACATCGCTGGTTAGTACCTTTCCTGATGCAGTGTGAACGACAAAATGATGGTTCTTACAACACGCTGCTCCGAGACTACATCGTTACCATGGCAAAGACAGACCTCAGTCTTGTTCTCAAAGTTTTCGAGTCTTCCAAGATCAATGTGAGTAAACTTCAATTCTGTCGTTTTTATAAAGCCTTGTATTTTGTTATGGAGAGTTAGGGAGATGTCGGGTATAATTCATGTCTGTTCTGTTCCAGTTTATTGCGATTTGTTGTCATTTCTGTAATAAAAATATTTCATCAACCTTTTTTCTTAAAAAAAATTCTTAAATGATTACTCAAATATTTATTGATCAGAAGTATGGGCCTTTATGTGTTATTTTTGTTATTTAACACAGAATGGCTGGTAGATTGGAAAAAAGCCTTTGAATATTCACAAACGATTTCATGTGGCTAACAAGAAATAAAGATTGTATGTACTGTAACTGTTCCAGTTGTATTCCTTGTGTATAAACATGTTTAACATTGTTTCATTGTGTATATTTTTGAACAGCTGCCCAACCCCATCATTAAGTCCCAGGATGATGTGATGTCCATGGCTTTAGAGGCTGTGTACAGCTGTGACAGGTTGGTAAAGGCCATATATTTCCCTTGAACTTTTTAATTACTTGGTTCTGTTTATACATCAAGCTTAGAAGGCAAGCAAAAAATTTACATGTATAGTGAAAGTATGAGAAAAATCAATAATTCCTAAAAAAAAAAAAAAAAACAAAACAAAATGGTAGATATTCCCTCTTAAAGAATAAACAAGCACAAAATGATTTTTTAAGGTACTATGATGTGATTTGAGATGTTTAATAATTACGATGATACATTATTATAAACAAGATTATGTTAGGTATTATTTAATGTTTATTGCTTTTGTTGCAATTAAATATTTGGAGTCAGAATTTGATCTCTAATTAGAAAACTATACAAAGTGTATCAACTGTGATTCAAATGATGAAAGAACACCCCCCACCCCCACCCACTCCCCACCCCAACCCCATCCACTCCTCACCTCAAGAAAAAACCAAACAAACAAAAATGTTACAGAATTATTCCAAAAAATTGCACTTTTATGTTAACAATATGAAATTTGAATAAGACGATTCTTTGTTTTGTTAGAGATGACCAGCTACAATTGTTATTGGCCATTTTCCAATGTCTGCCCAGCAAAACCAAGTCTAATGCAAGGTAAGCAATAGTTTTAATTCACAACAGATATTTTTCTCAGCAGAAAACCAAGTTCATTTCCTGAGAAAGTCTTTCTAATCTGATCATTAAATTTTGTAAGTTTATATTATGTGTAACCCTGGTAAGATACGAGGGCTAGTTGATAAGTTGGGAGCCTCATATTAAAGAGTTTGATCTTTGGCAGCCATATTGCATTATTTTTCAACATAATCCCCCTCAGTATCTAAACACTTTTGCCAGTGATGTTTAAGGACCTCAAAGCCACTTGACCATTTTTTATGACCATTAAGAAAGTCTTCCACTGCATGTCATCATTTGAATTTTGGAAATAGATGAAAGTCTGATGGAGTGAGATCAGGCAAATAAGGCGGATGCTTAATTGATTCAAGGCAACAGTCATTTACTGGCAGCCATGGCAGTGACAATCTTGTGAACAGGGGCTTTGTCCTGGTGGAACAACACAGCTTTACTGAGATTTTCACAGCTGCCTAAGAATTGATGAATAATATGTCCCATTGATTGTTTGTCCCTTTTGCAGATAATCATACCAAAAAACCGAGGCCATAACCTTTCCAGCTGATGGAACAGTCTTTGCCTTCTTTTAGAGGGGGGTAACCAGGGTGCTTCCATTGTTTAGACTGTTTGACCTCTGAGGTGAAATGATGCCCCATATTTCATCCATGGTCACAAACCTCTGCTGAAAGTTAGTAGGATCTACCTCTAAAAGGTTCAGATTAACGTGCGACAAAGTCCGCCTGGTGTGCTTCTGATCATCTGTCTGAAGTGTTGGGCTTTCTCATTGCAAGATCTTCCGTAAGAATGGAATGTACTCTTTCCTGTGAAATCCCAACTGCACTGGCTATATCTCTCTCTGTAATTTGCCTGTCAGCAATAACATTATCATAGAATTTATTGATCATTTCTGGGATTGCAACTGTGACGGGTCTTCCAGGATAGGTGTCATCCCCAAGGCTCTGGCCACCTTATCACTGTATCATATGAAGCGGCATCATTCCCTAGTGTTGCTACCATATCAGTATAGATATCCTTATGTCCTAGATGTTTCTTATACAAATATTAAAACCACTGCTCTTTTTCTGCGATATTGTCCATTTTGCAAATGTCACTTGCCTTGTTTACTTTATAGTGCAACCTCTTGCACATAAACTGACCACATGACACCAGTTTTTTGGTACACAGCCTTCAATGGTAAGGAAATAGTAGAGCTGAATAAAGACATCCCTGCTTAACTTCTACAAGGGTCTCAACTTATCAATCAGCCCTCATACTAGCAGCAATATACTGCTTAGCCATTGGGCTCAGTTGAGTGTAAGACTAGTAATCCAGAGGTTTCAAATTTGAATTCTAGCAGAGACATTGAAAGAAATAATGGCTTCTGCTACACTGGTGATATTTATCCTTATTTTCAAAACATAACCCTTGTAACCTTGAAGACAAACTCTTTCTTGGTAAAAGGTAAAATACTAGACACAATATACCGCTCATCTGGAAACATGTTACCTTAAGCTCGATTGGTAAGATTCATAAGCCAGGGGTCCAGGGTTCAATTCCTAGTGAAGGTGTTGATTCAGAAATAAATTATTATCAAAATTGGTCTGGTGGAGGAATTTGTTTATTATCAGGAATGAGTTGTCCGGATTGCAGAATTGATACCAAAGGTTTTTAGAGCCAGTGAAGGCCTTGTTTTTGATACTTCAATCCATGAATTGAATCTCTACATATAAAAATGTCTTACCTTAATTTTGTAGAACACAGGGGAAAGAGACACAAGAACTATTCTATCAGGTGGAGAAGCTGAGGCAGCATCTGAGGTATATGTTTTATCGTTGACTTGAAACTTCTTTGATTAATTGAGAGGTTTCTGTTACCAGGAAATTGACTGTATTGAGTAAATTGTTATTGCCTCAGCCATATATAAAGGAACAGGTGCCTATGGCCTCCTGTTCTGTCGCAACGCTTCCCGTTTTAAATCAATGTTAAATTTTGAGAACCTCAAGGGATTTGGTCCATATTTACCCCATAGCTTCATACCCCTTATTGTATTAACATAAAGGGATTATCTGTTAGGTTTAAATTGCCAGAGGCTATATTAGACAATATTCTGCACATTCATCAAATAGTGACTTGGGCATGGGAGCCAGGCACTTTTGTCTTAAACATATCTTTATTGTCATACAGGCAGCAGTTTGTTTATATTTCGTTGAATTATGATAACTTTCAGTTAGTAAATTAGAAGCTGGCAGAATTAATATTATTGATGTTTCTTATTTGTCCTATTGTACGAATTAAATAGGTTTTATTGACATATCGGAACAATCAGTAATTTTTTCCAACCCAGAAACGACTTTTCCTTTTAGGTAATGCAATTTAGATGACAGATTTTGTATTCAGTGTTTTAATGAGTGATGCATTGTTGAGATAAGATATTAAAACATTAGGTCATTTTCATCATTTCCCTTCTGTATATTTTATACTCAGTGCGGCCAAGATTCTGGAAAGTCATGGTGTGATGAAACCACTGCACTATCTGAAAGAAACAGAGGTAAGACAACAAATTGATTATAATTTTGTGAGTTAAAATTTGCCTCATATAAAATACTGATGTAATAAATGTGAAAGTCTTTTTCTAAGATATATGTAGATGTTAAGTTGTGAAGTAAGCTGCCTGTGAGTGTTATGAACCTTTGATATTTGGACAAATTAAAAGAATAGTGAGAGATACATGTTGAACTCATGTTTTTAGGTCACCTGATCGAAGGGTGTAATGACCTGTTGCGATCGCCGTTGTACGTGGCCCGTTGTAAATATTTTCAGCTTCTTCTCAAGTTCTACATGTCTTGAGCTGAAACTTACCTGAAATGATCATGACATGATCCTGACCAAAGTTTGTTAATTTCGGGTTGGTCCGAAATCCAACATGGCCGCCATCTTGAAAACACATTTTCGACTTCTTTTCAAGTTCAAAATTTGAAATCTTGTATTTTATGGCAGATGACCGTTAAGGCCCATGGGCCTCTTGTTTTCTTTTTTTCAGAGGAGACTTTGATATCCTTGTAATTTTGTTTTATGTATAATGTATTCACTCATGCCTGAAAATACATGATTTTGTGTATAATATCAGTACTACAGTTTATTGCTTACTAGATAAATAAAAATGAAAAAAAAAATGTTTTCAGGCAGATGCTGAAGAAGCCAAGAAATTGATGGTTAGACTTACAAGAAATGCTGGAAAGAGGTAAGTATGCAGGTGTTTGGAAACTTGAAAAAGGCTGATTCAGGGATTCTTCTTCACTGCAAATTAAATCATGTTATAAGACAGATACCGCAATGAAACTTGGAAAGCTTACTACATCTCATTTTTTTGACATAATCAGATGTATGATGAAGTTATGCTTTATAGGTTTATAATAAGTATGCCATTATCACTGTTTAGAGAGAAACCTCTTGACCAGAAAGAATGGCATAGTTTACATGAAGATGTGCTGAATCTGCAACAGGAGGTGTACAAGTGTCTCTCTGCTGGTCTTTGTCATGAGGTAGGTTACAATTTTTTTATAAAAGATCTGCAACAGGAGGTGTACAGGTGTCTAGTGTCTATCTCTTTGTCTTTGTCATGGGGCAGATTGCAATGTAATATAAAAAAAGTTCTGCAATATGAGGTGTACAAGTGTATTTCTGCTGATCTTTGTCATGAGGTTATAATTTATTGTAAAAAATCGTGCTATATATGTTCAGTCCCACAGGTTTAGAAACGTAAGAATTAACTACGAGGTCTTATTTGTTAACAAATGAAGAACACAAGTAGCTATATATAGTATGTGGGATTTCCCTAAAACAGACCTACAATCAAACCAATCACAGTTACTGAATTCAAAATTAATTTTAGTGTTTTACTTCTTAAAAAGGTCAATGTGTTGGATAGTCAAAGGATATTTGTTTACTGTCTTTGAGATTCGTGTATTTTACATCAGGGTTCTTTCTCTGCAGATTTTTACCGAGAGTGTCCTGTGCTCGAGCCGAAGGGAAAATATAACAACAATGGCTGGTGACCTGTTAGAGCGGGAGAGCTCAGAATGTGAGCAACTGACTCGTCCTGGAATTCATCAAAAACACAAAGTTCCATACGATCGGGCAGTTGAACTAGTGATCTCTGCTGCTAGGGAGTACTTTAACTCATCCTCCAACCTTATGGACCCATGTATGGATCTAGCTCGAGCGTGCCTTAACCTTATCCGGGAAACACCCCTTCCTCCCTCCATTCAAGAAGAATTGGACTTGATAGGCTCACTGGCACTGCTGGATGATTTCAGTGTGTCTGTTCTTCCTTTACAAGGTAAAGTGTTCACTAAACATTCTATTTAGGGGAAATTACCTGTAAAGAGAAGGTTAAATCAAGTTTTTGTAATTTAGATCATATTTCAAATGGTGTTAGATTTAATTTGGTCTAGATCTTTCCAAAAATGTTTGAAAACTTTTTGAGTTTGAATGAATCTCTTAATTTAGTTTATATATATCAGACATTGCTTTAAAAGTATGTATAGAAAGTAACAAGATTAATACAAATCAAATTTCTGTCTATATAGATGTTTGAAATTCTATGCCCTTAACAGTTCGCCTGAGTGACGATCGCCTGGATCTGGTGAGACAGGCTGTGAGGAGTAAACCAACCTCATTCAAACAGCGACAAAAGGTACAGTCAGTTTGCGACTGGATTTACCGGGCTTTGGAACTTAGTAATTTTTCCCAGTTTGGCAGGGAAAGGGGTACCAGACTTGTAGAATCAACTCCTCCTAGAGTTTTTGATGTAGAAGCTGGAAACTTTGTAGGATGTTTATATATATGTTGAAGATGTGCACCTCTTATGATGGATTCATTCTGGACATTTTTCTGGATTTTCCGGGCTTTGGAACTTCTGAAACTTTTCTTGTTATCACAGTTTCTCAGAAACTACTACAAGAATCTTTCCGAAATTCCACATATAAATCACCTTGGGGCCCTAGATGTCCATTGTCTATTTTTTTAAAATCTCTGAATCAAAAATGGCTGCAACTTCTTGTATCAAATGCCCTTCTTCTGCACTAATTTATAAAATACAACCAAACTTTCTCTGTTATAACAAATATTCTACATACTCAACAAATGAAACACCCTTAACTGTCTTTTAAATACCACATAACATTGCATCATCCCACAACCTGACTGATTATGACTTTGCCCCATTTTTCTTCAATGTTAAAACTGACAATAGTTAAGATCAGAAATATAACTGGCTGTTTTACACCTAGTTATCCACTGTATTGTTGACAGTTACTGAGGCTGGGACACTTGCTGCGAGTCAGCGGTGAGGATCGATCTCTACGTGAAGGTGAAGTTTTACACCTCATTGCCGAGGCTGCTGTAAAGGTAAGACAGCCAGAAAAAAATAGTTATTCTTCCTGTAATATATTTGAAGATTATTGGGTAGGTAGGTAGGCAGAACAAATTATGTTAACAAATAATTTTGTGTCATGGTTAAAATAGGATAAGGATCTTGACTTTAATGGTGATCCATTTAAAAATTGTCTTAAAAACTTTAAGGTAGGCAAGGAATATAAGGGTGGACAGGATTACTGGTAATTTTATTTTGTTCATTCAAAGTAAGATACTCTTCTATGTATGTTCTGCATAAAAGTTATATTTAATGGTGTGGTAAGTGCTATACATTTCTCTCAAGACTTTGTCTTTATTGAAATAAAAATATGGAGCTCTGTGGTAAATCAAACTTTTAAAAATGTTGCCTTCAAAAGATTTGTATATTTTGGTGGGGCTCAAGTTTCGTAGTTTTAAAAAATACACATTTTTGTAAGTACTTGATTTCATGACTAAACCTTACTCTCAAAATCCATTAATACTAAAATCCATGTAAAGTTCTATATTCATCATTTCTTGAATATATAAATTCATAGATGAAGAGTAACCTTGGTTTTGTATTGGTGTACTTTTTACATACATTATTGCAGGGAGAAGACTTCCTGTTTGCCTTTGAGGTGTGTGAAGACCTGATGAGTCAGTGTTACGGGAATGCTTGGAATACCTGTGTTGACCTTGCCTGGCAAGAGAAGTTCACTGATATGGCTGCTAAGTAGGTATCAAGGACAACTCAATTGCAAGTAAAATATGCATAGAAAATAATCAAATGATTCTATTATTTGCAGCAGTAGGGGTTCCTCGTTTATGCTAATGAGTCATGTTATAACATATGTCAATGGAATCAGAGAAAAAAAAAATGCAAATGTTTTTATTAAAAGCAAATGAGAATGAATGCAGAGAAGAATTGCCTAACATAATCTTTCTGATTTGATATGAAATGATAAAAAATCTGATGTATTCCAGGACTAAGTTATTGTCCTTCTCTGTGACCTACTGTACCTCTGATATGATAGAACCAATCCTACAGGCAAAGGCTTTGCTGGAGACACAGGTAAGATCACTAACATTCACTTTTGCATGAAATTAATCCAAATTGCCAACACATTGTCTGCCAATATTTTGAGTCCTATGTTTGGAATAGATATTTCAAGTTTAATGGAGGTGTAATGATACTGAAATGTATTTCCATTGAATTGCTTATATGCTTATATCACCATTTGTTTTTGTCTCTATCTCAGATACTGCATCGTTCGTTGAATACTGATGTCCAAGGAGAGGTTGATGAAAGTTGTCAAACAGCTGAAGTTCCTCTGTCTGCTAGAGCGGCACTTTCTCAAACAAAACACATACTAACATCAACAACAAAATCAACTAAAGCGTTGTTGTCTACAATGACTGATAAAACCTGGTGGCATGGAACAATGAATTTTCTCACTAAGACATCAAAACAATCCACTTCAATGTCAGATCAGAGCCATCAAGACAGGAACCAGAATTTTCAGAGACAAGGATGTCATCCATTTTATCATGATGCCATTGAAAATGCATACCTTGATCTGGTCAGTGTTTGCAGATAATTTTCCATGTTAAATTTACGAGAGAAAAAAAGAAAGAAAGAAAAAAAAAAAGAAAAAAAACTTTCCTAAGAGTTAAGATAAGATTGGACACAAAAGTTAATGTTACGTTTCGTATTGCTTAATTTTCTCAAAAGGTGATTTGATAAGCTGCTGGGTTTTTATTTGTCAAACATTTGAAGAAGTTTGTGAAATTAAGCTGAGAAGGAAAAGAAATAAATTGATGGACATTTTATACTTTGAAGACATGAATTAATATGTATTAAATGTTATTAAAAATGATTTGTTTATTCTTTGAAAAAAAAATCAATAAATTTCTGTTCAGTTTTCCTAATTGTTTGATAAGTCAAGATTGTAAAAATACCTTCAGCATTACATTTGTGGAAAAATAAATATGGAATGTTCTTGTCTATTTGTGATACAAGCAGTTCAATTTATTCAGTTTTTTTATTTAGATTGTTTATCAAGACGTTCCATCAGATTTACAATCAGAAAACAATAAAATGTCACACTTAATTTGGTAAAAGAGAAAAAAATATCAGAATTAAAATTTTAGTGTGTTTTGTAGAGTGCCATTGACTACCAGAGATGTCAATCAGAGGAAGACCTTAGTACAGAGATGAGCTTGCTAAGGGCTGTTTACCTAGAAGAAATGTTGACAGAAGGTGAAAAAACACAGTCTACTTCACAAGGTAATTTGTTATTAGGAGAAAAGATTAATACAGAAAGATGTTGAATTCAGGTTTTCTGAAACATAAGAGAAAACATTTTAGGTATTTTAACTCAATAAGATGTCTGTTGATATTTTGTTCTTTTTCAATATTTGCTAAATACATACAGATGTGATAACTATACAGTATGATTTATTGGTCCTTTTCCTGGATTACCCTTTAAAACACCCTGTCACCCTTGATTTTGAAAGCCATGCCCATTTACTATTGACATAATAATGATATTGGTGACACTGTTTAAAAGAATTGTCATTGTTAAATGAATCAAGAATGAAAAAAAGGATCCTAGTTAAAGTAGTGGGTTTGTTATAAGCAAACATTTCAAATTTATTTTTCAATATTTAAAACCAGGGCAGTAATTATTGTGTAGCTGATTTCCAGTATTCATTATGTGAATATTGTGCATTAATTTTGTAATACAATTTTTCATCATATTGATATTTCACATATTAATATAACTACGAGTTGATATTTGTAATTGTTTTGCTGTGGTTAAAATTCTTTGTTTTACTTTCAGTATTATTAAAGATTGCCCAAACTAAAATGACTACAGACAGTACACTGGGACTAGCATTTCTCCTGTCACTCCCTAAAGTAAGTCACTGTTCATTTCCTATATATGAGATAAAACTCTTACATATTTTATACTTTTGTTTATCAGTAAGTATTTGTCACATATCTAAAGAATAGTTTACACTTATTACTTATTAACCTAATCCTATGAACTTAAGCACAGAAAGTAGTTCACATTTTAAACACGTTATCTCGTATTTGTGCCGTATTCAGACAAGGAGTCTAAAACAGGATTTCAATTTCAAGCTGCAAATTCAGAAGTATTAGTAGATTGCCATTGGTCCCAAGTTGTGCCCATTTGATTTTAGGAATGTTGCACAGTTTGCTAGCTCTATGTTAAAATTATTATTGCTAGCCATTGTCATTATTTAGGTTTTTTATGTTGAGTAAATTTACAAACTGAAGTAAAAACCATCTTTTGAAAAAAGAGTTATTAAGTGCTGAATCCTGATGAAAGAGAAATAACATTTTTTAATGTACCTGTTTTTTTTTTTGACAGGAAATCACAGATTATGACCACTTTGCTGACTTCCCCTGCACAAGTATGTCCCTGCAGATGGCTCTATATTACTTTGCTCTGCAAATCTACTCGGCTATAAGGCCGACCTTTGACCAAGAATTAAGTTTATTGTACAAATATCCGCCATTCAAGCTGATAGAAAAGGTCAGAATGTATATCAGTCGGACTAAAGATGACCAATTCCCGAACGAAGTTGTCCAACTGGTTAAAAACTTCAAACAATATCAGGAATTCCTGGAGGACTCCATTCAAGCTAAACAGCTGAAGAAGCTGGACAGAGGTATTTACGTTTGTTTGTTTGTTGGGGTTATCACCCTGTGAACAGTCAGGGTCATTTTTAGGGGATCGCCTTGTAGCAGTTAGTTGCTACCTCACTGAACAACATACAGGAGGCCCATCAAATGCTTTCCTGAGTACTTGGGGTAAAGTGTCTTGCCCAAGGACAAAACCACATGAGTACAGACCTATCTATTTCTCTGCTTCCTGAGAAATACAAACCACCAAAGGGAGGGCGCACCATTATTTCAGGAACTTATTATTCTTACCACACATGAAGAAGAACAACTTTACTAGAGAAAAGTACTTATTGATGTGATGGGAATATTTCTTACTAAAGGATGTTTGATTTGTAAACGATTAATTTTTTCATGTATGACCATGCCTCTACCATTTTATAGAATAAGCAAGGCCTATGAAATCCTACCATTTGATAGCATTAGTATTAGTAGTATTCTGTAATGAGACCTGTTTTCATGAATTATGATATTAAAGTTTTTCTTTTCTGATTATAACAGGTATTGATACTGGTCGGTTTACCAAGGACAGTCAATACCGAGTGGAAACTATCTGTGGACTAGCCATGTAAGTACAGAAATTACATGATCAAATTTAGTTCAGAATTTTCAGATTAACATGTTTATAGCATGTAGAGCATACCATTGTACCTTTACTCACTGTAATACTTACACAAAAAAACAATTATCAGAAAAACGAACAAAAATCAGTGCATTTTTCTATGTACAGGATTCTACATTTTTAAGGGGTCTCTATGATAGCACTGATTGTAGGACAGATTGAATGATAGAATTCAAATCTGACATGTGTCTCTCAAACAGGTGTACTCTCTGGCCTTATCTGTCAGCTGTAAGATTTTTCTATATATAGCATGACCTTTGTCATTTGTCTTTTTTCATGGCCATGTGTTCAGTGCATTAGAATTGAACAAAAGTAAGGCCTTGGATCTTTTATGATCAGGATTTTAAATATCCTGGTATTCCCTTCTTTCTTTGACCTGCTGGAGATAGTTATAGATAAACATTTTATTTCTTTGCTGAATCTGGACAGGACTTTGGAGGAAAATGTATACAACATCTCGTTGTCACTGGCAACCAGGTATGCGGTCAGTTTGTGGGATGTGTACATGGCTCATTTAGAGTTTCTCTTCTCTGACAGTATGTAAGTATTGTGTTTCATACTTTAATATAATATGATGGTTTCTAGATGTACTTTGTATACTTTTCATGACTAGTTTGAAATTATAGTAGATATTGTTAATCGTTCAGAAAGAGCTGTTGAGAATACATTTCAAAGTCATCTTTCAGATGGTTAAGACTTGTCAATGTCAACTCTAAAAATTTCAAAGCAAAAAAGTTTATTTCAGAAAAAATTCTGAAATATACAAACAAGAAATTGCTTTAGTAAGTTTTTTGTTTTTCTTTTTAAAATTTTTTTTTTCAGAGTGATTGTTTTTCACAATTTCATTCTAGCTTGAGAAATAGTAAAATATTGAACCGATTGATAATAACCTCGGCATATAGTAAACTGTAAGGAAACTGATACTGGATTATATTTTGAATTTATATCTTATCTTAAATATCTTATCAAGAAGAAAAAGGAATTTGTGCTAAAATAAGAGAATTATCACATCTTTTTTATGAAGGGGTTTGATGAAAATCATTCTGAATTATTCGATCTTGTTAATACTTACCATCAATTTTTTCAGGTGTAAAAAAGTAATTATTCATGGAATCTATAGTTGATTTCTTTTCTGTATACAAGGCTGATGACAGAGGACATAGAGGACCGTGTCGGAAAGATGGGGATTTTACCTGTCCTTAGGGAACGTGAGGAAGACTTTGTGAAGAAGATGACAACCTATGTGTACCCATCTGTTGAAGGGACAGATCATAGCCGTCTCCTATATTACTACACACTTATGTCGGGGATAAACATGCCTCTAGCTGGCACCCTCACAGCTGAAACCCATGTCAAACTCCTAAAGAAAGTAAAATTTACAGCTGAAGGTATATTGTAGACATAGTCCTATAGAATGTTAAAACTATTGTCAGGCATTGTTATCGATATAAGATGTTAACTAAAAATAAAGTTAACTATGATTTATAAAGAAAAAAAAATAATACAGTTATGTGATTGATGTATGCTTGGTAGCAGGATCATTTTTGTCTGACAGTTATTTTCTACTTCTGCTTTAGAAAATTGTTTTAAAGGTAACATTAAAAAAACAATAGCTATGTTGCATTTTTGCAGCTTGTTAATTAAGAATTTTTTTTATCAAACTGTTGCCATATCTATTTTACAGCCCGTTACCTGGTATGTGTTTCTGTTTCTCCTGTAGGTTTGGATTATAAAAGTCTGGTGGAGGGGGAACACAGTCCTGTGGATGTACTCATTCCAATACTAACCACCAGCAACATAAATGTGATCGCTAAACTAGCCAGCAAGATTCCTGATGGGGTGAGTGTGATACTTGCTCTGAAAATAACTGAGTTCAAAGAGGTTTTTTTTTGTTTTGGGTTCCCCCTCTTGAAATTTTGGGGATAACGGTGAGCCTGAAGAAAGTTCCCTGTAAATAAAGTAATAGTGCCTTATGTTTCTACATGCCTTTGAAAAGTGCTGGAATTTGTCTTTTGTTTTATTCTTAAAAAATATCAAAAAGTGTGGGAAGCTGCTTAATATTCCTTAAAAATGAATGAGAATATAAACTAGAGACAACATTTTTAATGCAAGAAGGACTTTTTTTCAGATTTTTGTTTACTTTGTGAAAGACTTGCCATCCAAACTTTTTAAAGTGATATAGATTTATCATATAAAGTTAACTAATTATTTTACTTGTGATTCATTGAAAATGTCATCTTTCCTGGTCTGAAGGTTCTGCCATGCACAGCATTCGTTTCACTTCTCACATCTTTGTTGTGCAGGGAACAAGTCCTTGAGGCATTTTGTATTTCTCTTCTACAGAAAGGGGGTATGTTGATGCCAAGTGCTGTGTATTGTGCCTGGACCATCAAGATGTTTTGGGACACGTCCAAAAAAACACCAGACTCTGGGGTAAGTCGGGCAGGATATTCATCTGGTATATGACTATACATGTATATGATTCAGGTTATGGATACTATTTTTAATTTTTTCAATATTCAACTTGTATGCTTTTTATCATTCATATGTCTTCCCACAGGTCATCCTTACTTGCATGTCTTTCCCAGGTCAATGTTACATACATGTATCCCAAAGGTCATAGGTCATAGTTGGTTACTTACATGACTTGAGGTCAATGTTACTTACATCTCTTCCCCAAGGTCAATGTAACTTCTCTGCCCCAAAGTCATTATTACCTGTAACTCTTCCTCAAGGTCAATGTTACTTACATCTCTTCCCCAAGGTCAATGTAACTTCTCTGCCCCAAAGTCATTATTACCTGTAACTCTTCCTCAAGGTCAATGTTACTTACATCTCTTCCCCAAGGTCAATGTAACTTCTCTGCCCCAAAGTCATTATTACCTGTAACTCTTCCTCAAGGTCAATGTTACTTACATCTCTTCCCCAAGGTCAATGTAACTTCTCTGCCCCAAAGTCATTATTACCTGTCAATGTTACTTACATCTCTTCCCCAAGGTCAATGTAACTTCTCTGCCCCAAAGTCATTATTACCTGTAACTCTTCCTCAAGGTCAATGTTACTTACATCTCTTCCCCAAGGTCAATGTAACTTCTCTGCCCCAAAGTCATTATTACCTGTAACTCTTCCTCAAGGTCAATGTTACTTCTCTGCCCCAAAGTCATTATTACCTATAACTCTTCCCCAAGGTCAATGTTACTTACATGATTCCTCAGATCAGAATATACCAAAGTTCTTTAAGTCTAGGAAAATCTCTAGAGAAAAATTGCTGTTCTCCCAGGCCAGGTGCAAGGTGCTGTCTGACTTTAGTAGTGGTACTGACATGTCACTATTTAGATAAAACAACAATTACATAATGCTTTTTCTGTATATTTTTGGGTCTTGTGGTGACCTATTGTGATTGCCTTTTGTCTGGCACTGTGCCATGTTAAATTTAATCATTTTCAACTTCTGGAAAACTCTTGAACTGATTGTGTGCACCAGAAGTGTTAATTATATGGTTCATCTCCCTAGGAATCTATAGAGGAAAATACATGTTTGTGCGTAATTTGTTTACTTTCTTTTGGAAATAGTTCACATTTGGTTAGAATTACAGACTGTATTAGTATAAGATGACAGTATCAACATATGAACATAATGATCCTGGCTGACCCTTAGTGGCTGGTGGACAAATCGAAAGGGATCAGATTGGCTCCAATTTCAAAGATCTTTTCAATACAACAGATATGGCAGAATCTATTAAATACTGTTCATGAATGGAAGACTTTATATAGGAAAATTACATTTTTGGGTGTAATTTCTTTTAATTCATACTTAGTTGAAAGCCTTAGCAAGGGACGTCGGTTAATGTTATACTTGTACAATGTAGTTCTAGTTATCTGGCTTTATTAACAACATTATTTCTACGACATGTTACAAGAAGCATTGTAACTCAGGTGACTGTTAAGCCATTTGGCCTCTTGTATGGGATTCATTTTGGAATACATTTTCGATTTTTGATCTGAAGTTGAAAAGGGGAAAATTGCTGTGAAATCAAGTTATCTCTAGGAACAAGATACAGATGAAAATAAGGAGATTCAACCTCTGACAATGAAATATTAAAGAAAAAAACCTATGATTTCCTAAACTACTTCATCCCACTGGTTTGAATTTCATTTCTGATATCAATGCTGATGCTGAACTTATATGGTTATATTCTTGTGTTAACAGTTGGGCTGGGTACATCGATATGAGAGCTGTCAGGAGACTCTTCAGAAACTCCTACCTCAGGATCTGGTGCAATTTGTGGATTCTGTTGTCTTTGTTCCACAGTCAAGAGAAATGGTAACAAAAAGATCATCTTCAAAGCTAGAATTTTTTTACAAAATGAGTCTATTAGTGTTTATAACCATACAGAGACATCTTGTATCAGGCAATTCAACAGTGTTTTTTTTCATTATTCATGAGTAGATAATCAATCTTTGATCTGTGGTTTATGTAACTGGTATGTCTATGAAACACATAGAGGTATATATGTACTTTAACATTTTCAGGTAAAAAAACATGTAGTTTAATAGTTTAGAAATCTGGAAACAAATGGTGATTCTGGTGTAGACATGGACAGAATATTAATTTCTGTTTATAACTTATCAATGATGATTTTATCACGAAAAATTATTTATCAACAATAAGCACAAACACGACCTTGAGGTCAACATAGCATCCAGTGTCCATGTTCGACAGTGTTATTTTAATGATTAATTGGTGGTGTTATACAGGTTGGGTTTGAAAGCAGACAGCAGATATTGAATCGCTGTCTTAAACTTGCTCGTCAACAAGGAAATAAGAAGAAGAAACAGGAAGATCTTGGGTATGTAGATATTAGTAGATAGCATTGTTTCTGACAGTTAGGTATCAGGACATTGAAGTGCAGATATTCTGTTGTTGTCAAATGAAAGTATAGAAACAAGAAACATATTTTTTAGGATTTTGGTTAAAGATGATATTTATTTCCTATTAAGTGACCAGATGAATTGGGAAGAGGCAGCGTCGGTATTAAAGAATTACCAGTCACATCTGACAGTGATTCAGCACCCAACAGTACAGAACCTAGCAGACTCTGAGGCTGACAACCTCCATCAGTACATTTTAGAACTAGACATGAGCAAGGGACAGACTAGCAAGGTAGGTAACTCTAGTATCCATCTTGTTTAGTTTACTGTGAAATCATTAATTTTTGTGGAGAATATATTTTCATTGAGTTTGTTGGTACAGATTTATCCACAAAGTCAACTGCCAAATAAAATGAATATCTTTGGAAAACTATGAAATTTGAGCATCTCAAAAATATATGATTTTGCAGTATGTACTTAATTTTGCTATAAGGCTGTAGATGTAAATGTGAATATTTCACATTTACTGTGTTAATATAATGATGGAGCATTACATGTCTAACAAACTGCAAGTCCTGAAGTATTTACTAAAATAGTGTCAGTCATTTTTCCTGTAGTAAATATTCCAGCAGGTATTTATCAGTAGACTGATAATATCAACAATCAAGATGTGATAATATGACAAAAATATTTCATTCTAAATAAATTTTATTTAGCATTGATTCTAAAAGAGGCTTGTCATATTCAGAATATCCAGAAAGATTTAACAAAAAATATACACATTAGTGAAACACAAATTTATTATTCTTAATGTGATTGAGAACGGAAAAGTTCACGCAGAAAATCTTCATCAATTCTTATTTGTCAAAATCTCAAAGAAAATTTTAATCATTAATAACATGTTATTAATTTGTACCCCATATCATGTTGATAACAAGATTAGATTTTTACAATTTTAATAAAAAGATTAAAACAATATATATTTCATTTGATATAATTACAGATAGAAGAAATCTTTATAAAGATGACTTGTGAAGGTTTAGGTGTAGAAGAAATTGACAATCTGTTGCTGACATTTCCCACACTATCATGGAAATCTTTAACAGCAATCCAGCAGTCGCTCAACATGATCATTTCTCAACTCAGGTAAATACAACTAATGAATGCAGGACATATTTATCTTTAGAATTAATATAATTTTTTTTATAGAAATGTAAACTTTTACATCTGTTTGATATTCACAATTTTAACTTCACTGGAGAACAAGGAAAAAAGAAAAAAATATGATAAAGCTGACAAAATTTTGGTCTTGCTCGATCAATTGAATGCAGCCTTACTATTAATGTAAAAACACTACTCTACTTGTAAAATGTGTTTTCTATGTAATTGTAGTAGAAGAACAGCTGATTCATTTCATTCAATATATGAAAAGGCAATGGTAAAGTTTTAAATGTATTTATAGTGATGAAAGCTCCAGTCCAGATTGTGTGGAGGAAAGTCTGACCTCTTTTCAGAGAATAGTAAACAATGTCTTCTCACACGAGCAAAAAGGGTAGGTAACTCTGAATTACACATTAATAATGCCTTTTGATAGGATGATCACATGATCAGAAAGGATAGGTAGCTCTGAATTACACTTCAGTGATGTCTTCTCATATGAACAGGACTCTAAATTACACATTGGTGACATCTTCTAATATGATGGTCATTGTAGTTTATTAGTAGTAGGTTAGAATGAAGGAAAGTTTGTTTAAATGAATGACCTTGACCCTTTTTTTTCAAGGTCATGTGGGTCAAATGTGTTAAAATCTTGAAATGTCTACCTTGAGGTTTGAAGACATTATTTGGTTAGTCGCCCTTTGGAATTCAGCAATGAAAGTTATATTGTGTTTACGATTGAATGACCCTGACTCAATTGAAAAGTCAGTGGGATTATATACATTTAAACAAGTTCCTCTGATTCAGTGTATCCAAGGGTCTGAGAGTAGTATACTTCGATGGTGGTCTGTAGATTTATTGTATTGCATAAATGGTCATGACATTTAGTCGTCAGCAATTCGAGATTAACAATATTGATTTACATTGAAATTCCTAGACATTAGAATGCTTGCATGCTACTGGGCTTGTTGATGGACATTTGATAGCTTAATTTAAAGTTCAAAGAAACTTTATGTATAAAAACACAAAAAATGACACAAAGGATCAGATGCATCAGTTGCAAAGATATTTCATTACTCTTGAAACTTACTTGCATTGATAGAAATTATTCTGTGGCACCACTGCCAGATTCTCTGTTCATTTGATATTGTTGGCTGTCACTATGTGTCTCAAATACCCCTAAATTTCCACCTAGAAAAAAAGAGCTATATATATGATTGTTGCCTGGTATAACAATAGACTTTCTGGATACCATCTTTGTTTTATATCATTTATATGTTATGTTGTCTGATGTAGGATGATAACCTTTGAGAAGGTATAAGATATGATGGTCAGATTGTGTATCTTGCTGTATTGTAGGGGACACTGTGTGACAACAGAGGATGTGATGACCTTGGTGAGGCCATTTTGTTCTGATGATATGGTAGCAGTGAAACCCCGTCTTGACATCCTGCACATTTTAGAAAAGGTAAATAATCAATTTTAAAGGATAAAATATGTCAGCATTAATTTGTTCAGCACAGATAAAAAACTAATTCTTTTTGAAAAAGTAGCATATGTATCGATATCTACCTGTGAAATCAATCACTGTCAGTGTGCTGACATTAGGTGAACCTGAAACTTTGCAGTAGAAGTACCAAATGGAAATATCCTCAAACTATTATTGATATCATGTTAACAAAGATAATTTTATTTTCAGAGTTTTAACCTGTCAGCTGAAGACATGGTATTACTAGTCCTGTACAGGTCTGAGGCTGTGATCAACAAAGCCTGGCAAGCCATCACGGTATGAACACCCTGTAAAATTTATTCCTTTTCAACAATTTATGCCAGGATCAAATTTTAGTGATTAAGCTACAGAAATACACTACTGACTCTTTGTAACATTAATATTCCTACTCTCTCTTAATCATGTTTAAAGTATTAAAGCCAAAGGACTCTTTCAATGTCTTTGTACTATTCACTATCAGTGTCACTTGGGCTGATCTTGTGTAATGGCTGTAATAGATTAGTCGATCGTTTACAGGTTCAGGAGGCTGATATCAATACAGACCAGGCCAGGTTTTCGCTCTTTACACGTCTTTTGTCAATGACAACAACATTTGAACAGACACAAGCTTTATATAAACTTCTCCACCTCTGGCCACCACTGACGGCATCAAACTCCAGGTATGTTTTGTCTATGATCACACTTTTTTTAATTTTTCGCTCCACCTCCGAATGAAAGTCATTATAACGCTAAAGCAGAAATCGTTAAAATTACTTGAATCATATAAGGAACACCATTTTCAGCCAACTCCATATTTTTTGGGAATCCTCCATATTTTTTGTATTCTTTATATAAATTTTGGAAATTTTGGAAATGGTGTTCTGGGCTCACAAGGATAATATCATGCTAGGTGACAATCAATATTCACTGAAAATAAAGTTTTAGTTCAAAATTCTGCTCTGCTATACATGTAGTCCATACATCAAAGCCTGGGAATAAAGTTACATGATTGCATGTAAGAAAATAGAGGTTATGATGGTAACACACAAATGATAGGACCATTCTAAAAATGTACCACATTTTACTTTGTATAGGGCCTTGCTACCTTATCTTATTGGGTATAGGTCTGTGCTACCATATTGTACAGGGTATAGGACTGTGCTACCATATTGTACTAAATATAGGACCATGCTATCTTATTAGTCGCTGGCTGATGAAACCTTAGGGGACTTAAGTGTTTGCCTCTTGTCTGTTCATCTATTCACCCCTTAATCTGTCAGTCTGTCTGGATGTTACGTTTCCAGACAATAACTTGAGAAGAGTTGGATAGATTGAAATGAAACTTCATCTTATTTTAGATTATGAGATAATACAGAGTGGGATTGAATTTGGGGTCAAAAGGTCAACTACAAGGTCACTGTTGCTGAAAATAGATATTTTTTGTCAAAGTTTGGATTTCATATGATAACTTCAGAAATGATTGATGGATTTGGTTGAAACTTTATACAATGTTAACTTATGAGGTCATACAGAGTGGAATTGGGTTTAGGATCGAAAGATTAGCTACGAATCTCACTGTTACTAAAAGCAGACTTTAATCATCATATATTATATGCAGTCTACTATCATTAGAAAATATAAAGGATGGGATTGAGTTAGAGGTCAAAAGGTCAGCTGTGAAGACTGTGAAGATCACTTGCTATATAGACATTTACCGTATCACCACTTTTATGGACTTGCATCAAAGATACAGAAAGCAAAGTTTGTCAAAATAACACCAGTGGTCACTGGTTTTTTTCATGTTTATACTGACAATGTAACTAGAATGGTTAAATTTACCATTGAAGGCCAGACACAAAGCCAGGTCCTTTCTGACATGTCAGTGTTTCAATTTGTTTTCCAGATAATCACTTAATTGAATTAGGGATGACAAACTTGTTTAAAACTTCATACAATGTCAAGCACAAGGGAGTGCATATACAGTTTTTTCCTAATTATTTTCTGGTTTTTTGCATTCTTCCTGTCAAAACACTGGTTTTTGGAGGGAAGACTTTCAGTTGTTAAAATGAAACATCTGTTCATTGCTATCGAGGTCTATGTTGCTTAGAAAATTTATTTAACATAATTAATGTAAGCTTATTTTACTTTGTATCAAACCATCCTACCATATTGTACAGGATAGAGGACTGGGCTAGCATACTGTACAGGGTATAGGACTGGGCTACCATATTGTACAGGGTATAGGACGGTGGTACCATATTGTACAGGGTATAGGACTGGGCTACCATATTGTACAGGGTATAGGACTGTGGTACCATATTGTACAGGGTATAGGACTGTGGTACCATATTGTACAGGGTATAGGACTGGGCTACCATATTGTACAGGGTATAGGACTGGGCTACCATATTGTACAGGGTATAGGACTGTGGTACCATATTGTACCGGGTATAGGACTGTGGTACCATATTGTACAGGGTATAGGACTGGGCTACCATATTGTACAGGGTATAGGACTGTGGTACCATATTGTACAGGGTATAGGACTGTGGTACCATATTGTACAGGGTATAGGACTGTGGTACCATATTGTACAGGGTATAGGACTGGGCTACCATATTGTACAGGGTATAGGACTGGGCTAGCATATTGTACAGGGTATAGGACTGTGGTACCATATTGTACAGGGTATAGGACTGGGCTACCATATTGTACAGGGTATAGGACTGTGGTACCATATTGTACAGGGTATAGGACTGGGCTACCATATTGTACAGGGTATAGGACTGGGCTACCATACTGTACAGGGTATAGGACTGGGCTACCATACTGTACAGGGTATAGGACTGGGCTAGCATATTGTACAGGGTATAGGACTGGGCTAGCATATTGTACAGGGTATAGGACTGGGCTAGCATATTGTACAGGGTATAGGACTGTGGTACCATATTGTACAGGGTATAGGACTGTGGTACCATACTGTACAGGGTATAGGACTGGGCTAGCATATTGTACAGGGTATAGGACTGTGGTACCATATTGTACAGGGTATAGGACTGTGGTACCATATTGTACAGGGTATAGGACTGGGCTACCATATTGTACAGGGTATAGGACTGGGCTACCATATTGTACAGGGTATAGGACTGGGCTACCATACTGTACAGGGTATAGGACTGGGCTACCATACTGTACAGGGTATAGGACTGGGCTACCATATTGTACAGGGTATAGGACTGGGCTACCATATTGTACAGGGTATAGGACTGTGGTACCATATTGTACAGGGTATAGGACTGTGGTACCATATTGTACAGGGTATAGGACTGTGGTACCATATTGTACAGGGTATAGGACTGGGCTACCATATTGTACAGGGTATAGGACTGGGCTAGCATATTGTACAGGGTATAGGACTGGGCTACCATATTGTACAGGGTATAGGACTGTGGTACCATATTGTACAGGGTATAGGACTGTGGTACCATATTGTACAGGGTATAGGACTGGGCTACCATATTGTACAGGGTATAGGACTGGGCTACCATATTGTACAGGGTATAGGACTGTGGTACCATATTGTACCGGGTATAGGACTGTGGTACCATATTGTACAGGGTATAGGACTGGGCTACCATATTGTACAGGGTATAGGACTGTGGTACCATATTGTACAGGGTATAGGACTGTGGTACCATATTGTACAGGGTATAGGACTGTGGTACCATATTGTACAGGGTATAGGACTGGGCTACCATATTGTACAGGGTATAGGACTGGGCTAGCATATTGTACAGGGTATAGGACTGTGGTACCATATTGTACAGGGTATAGGACTGGGCTACCATATTGTACAGGGTATAGGACTGTGGTACCATATTGTACAGGGTATAGGACTGGGCTACCATATTGTACAGGGTATAGGACTGGGCTACCATACTGTACAGGGTATAGGACTGGGCTACCATACTGTACAGGGTATAGGACTGGGCTAGCATATTGTACAGGGTATAGGACTGGGCTAGCATATTGTACAGGGTATAGGACTGTGGTACCATATTGTACAGGGTATAGGACTGTGGTACCATATTGTACAGGGTATAGGACTGGGCTACCATATTGTACAGGGTATAGGACTGGGCTACCATATTGTACAGGGTATAGGACTGTGGTACCATATTGTACAGGGTATAGGACTGGGCTACCATATTGTACAGGGTATAGGACTAGGCTACCATATTGTACAGGGTATAGGACTGGGCTAGCATATTGTACAGGGTATAGGACTGTGGTACCATATTGTACAGGGTATAGTACTGTGGTACCATATTGTACAGGGTATAGGACTGGGCTAGCATATTGTACAGGGTATAGGACTGTGGTACCATATTGTGCAGGGTATAGGACTGTGGTACCATATTGTACAGGGTATAGGACTGGGCTACCATATTGTACAGGGTATAGGACTGGGCTACCATATTGTACAGGGTATAGGACTGGGCTACCATACTGTACAGGGTATAGGACTGGGCTACCATACTGTACAGGGTATAGGACTGGGCTACCATATTGTACAGGGATTAGGACTGGGCTACCATATTGTACAGGGTATAGGACTGTGGTACCATATTGTACAGGGTATAGGACTGTGGTACCATATTGTACAGGGTATAGGACTGGGCTACCATATTGTACAGGGTATAGGACTGGGCTACCATATTGTACAGGGTATAGGACTGTGGTACCATATTGTACAGGGTATAGGACTGGGCTACCATATTGTACAGGGTATAGGACTGGGCTACCATACTGTACAGGGTATAGGACTGGGCTACCATACTGTACAGGGTATAGGACTGGGCTACCATATTGTACAGGGTATAGGACTGGGCTACCATATTGTACAGGGTATAGGACTGTGGTACCATATTGTACAGGGTATAGGACTGTGGTACCATATTGTACAGGGTATAGGACTGGGCTACCATATTGTACAGGGTATAGGACTGGGCTACCATATTGTACAGGGTATAGGACTGTGGTACCATATTGTACAGGGTATAGGACTGGGCTACCATATTGTACAGGGTATAGGACTGTGGTACCATATTGTACAGGGTATAGGACTGGGCTACCATATTGTACAGGGTATAGGACTGGGCTACCATACTGTACAGGATATAGGATTGAATTTGGCAGGTAATGATTATCATTGCTATTTCTGCAAAGGAGTGTTCAAATGTTCAAAGAGCATACAGAGATTAAAAAATGGTTGGTGCCAAGATTCCTCTGGGATAACTTGTTTATTAATTGTTTTCTAAACATCCACAAATCTTTATAGGTTTTATTGTAGAAAGATTTTTGGTTTATATGTGAAAGCGAAACATAATTGTTTTTTGAAGGGTGGCTTCGGAGAACCCCTGGGTAAAAGTCATTGATATGATGGTCCAGAAGAGTGACCAGACTAATTGTAAGCTTGTATGTCCCTGTCTGAAGGAAGTCCTGTCCATATGTCCACTCAGCGAGGAGGTATGTATTGGTAAAGTCACTCATAGTAACTTCTCTGCTTTAAATTGGCTTTAAACTGATTCAATTCAGTAAGATCTCATTAAATCATTTCATTTTGATATTGTAGAAATAACTGTGGTATAACTTAGTAAGTAATAAACAGAGAAAAGAATCATCAGTTTCTTGGGAAATACATCATTTTTGCTTCATGGCTTTATAAAAAAAAATGTTGTCTTACAAAATTACAAAATAGTTTACATAAGTTAAAGTGTTTTTATCACTATAGAAATACCATACCCTACAGAAAACACTAACAATCTGCCACTGTACACCTACTTTCAGTCTATACAGCATATTTACGGTAGTCTGGTTTCTACGTCAAATCACATGGAAGCAGTAAGATGTGTTCTGATTGGTGGATATGAGAACCTAATGGATTCGGCCATTCAACACCTTGCATCACAGCCTCAGGTATTAGTTTTATATTTTTCATGTTTATATTTTGTCTTTGTTTCGAGAAATGTTTGGCCAATTGACTCCAGCTTTTATGGGTAACACACAACCAACTGGGTTTTCCATCAGACCCCAGTTTCATGAATCTTTCTTAATTCAAGAAAATTTAACTAACAGAGAACAGCATGAAGTAAATTATGGAAAAGCTTAAATAAAAAAAATTCTCTATGCACAATTTTAAGTAAGGAAAGCTTTTTGTGGCCAGATATTTTATTAAAGTTAAAAGTTAAAGATAAAAATCACCGTACATTAACTCTTCATATTTCAGTCGACAAGTATTCTTAATCATTTTCCAGGTTGTGGCAGACGATGAACTCCTTGACCTAATTGTGCGCAATGATCTAGTCAATAAAGTTGTGCTTACCCACGTATATCCAGCAATCACAGACTATATTCTGGCCAATCAGGACACTCATAGTGAATCATGTGACTATCTCTCAGTCAAGGTTGTGTGTAGGAAACTACAGGAGGAAGGATTTGAAGCAGAGGCTGGGTCTCTACTGATGAGGAGTCGGACATCACACCCGCTCCTCCAAACTTTCAGTGCATCATTACAGACTCTTAAGAAATGGTTGTAACATTACAAAGCATTAGAAATACATATAGGGAAACATAAGGTGATAAATTATTGCCAATATTCTCTTGAATATCAGTATAGTAATACCTTTGTGCTATTACATTCTTTTTTTAAATGGCTGTACTTGTAATACCTGCAGGTACTGATTTTATCTCTAATTACAAGAACTGAAAAAATGTTCATCTCATAATGAACGGAGTGCTTTTGAGCTTTATCATTATTTTTTTAGCATAATATCAACTGCAACATTTTTCTATTTTTTCTTTTTTTTTTCTTTTTTTTTCACCTTCAGATAGGTATTGGATAAATGTCTTTCAACTACTTAGATCAGGACATGGTTTCATGATTAGATTCTACCTCCAGAATTTTCGTTAACTTTACTAGCTTCTGGTTTTTTGTCAAACACATTTATTATATAAAACATGTGTTGATTGGTCGTTAAGAATGTAAATGATGATAATAATATATAAATGTGATTATGATTAAAATGAATGCAATAGTATATCTCAAAAACAGTTTCAGCTTAGTTACTGTTGCCATTTTGTGTATTAGAATCATGTTACATATTTTATGATGAAATCATAGTATGATGAGACAGGACACGGAGTCGATGGACTGTACTATATATAACACTACCAACAGATCAGAGGCAGTTTTCTGAGCTACTGGGTGATATCTATGGTGCTCCAAAGAAATTAGAATGATGTCTTATATGTGATAATATCTCTCTTTATTGCCTTTGTTACAGCACCTAACCACAGTAATATGATATTGCAATACTTTAAATTACCTCCCTTATTGATACTACTGACAATTTTTTTTTCAGACACAAGACAGTAAATGTTATTTATCAGGAGCAAAGCACAAGATATTAGGTCTCTCTCTAAAACCTTTCTCCTGCTTTAACATATGTTTTATGTAAACAAACAGTAACACATGTTGTCCTTATTTTTCGATGTGTTCCGTAAAATATTCAATTTCCATGGGAATTTCATTTTTATTGATTTCATGGGTAATCTTTATCAACTAATTCACATACATGTAACAGCGAAATAATAACAGTTAGGAATACAAATACAGTGGATTGCTATTTATTCATGAAGTCAAATGTCAAAGAAAAATTGTTTTTCTGGAAAACCACAAAATTTTAATGTGATGAAAATTGATAGTTTTAAGAGTTCTTACAGTATCTTGGTGGTTTTCACCTCTGCCCGCCATCTTGTATTGTTGCCGCATGGTGTCTCTCTAATATTTTATTTTTATGACCAGTGATGTATATGTACAGTATTTATATTTAAAGAACACTGCTAGTGAGAAAGTATTTAATAATACTTTAACTGTATCCTGGTCTGACATCATCTCTATGTAGATAAAGCCTGTGCTAGAAAGTGTATAAACTATAGTCAGTCCTCAAAATGCTATGTTACCAATGTCTATTGTCTTCAGTTTGTTATCAGATACAATGTATGCAGCAATGGAGAGACATTATGATAGTGGGACAATCTCTGTACTTACTGTTAGTGGAGAATTTTCTACATTATATATTCTTGAAGTGCTTCTTACTATGGCAACCCTTTCATTATTTTCTAGACCACACAACTAAGTTGGTGACCAATATAAAAACAGAGATGACCCAAATGTCTAACTGTACAGGATGAGGATTGTTTTATGCAATTTTCAAATCACCATACATTAAAAAACTGAATAGATCAGATTTGCAGAGAAAAAATAACCTGAATTACACCTCTAAATGTACGTTGTTTTAGAAATGAGTCCATGCTTGAATGACTTCATGCAAATGAAACGATACAATCCGTCATCAGAATATGCTTATTTATATATATATCATTGAAGCACCCCTTATGTTGGTCTATAGGTTACAAGCTGCAGATGCTAAATTTGACCTACACATGATGCAGGGCTCTCACACCCCATTTTGGGACTGGGGCCTGGGCCCGGGGCCCTTTGAATTGGGAAAACTTCGGGTCTAAATTGGGAAAAAAGATACTATTTTGGATTGGGAATGGGGCTTAATATCGGCCCCAAATCTGGCAGATCGAGAGCCCTGTGATGCTTTAGTGAACTGTACCGTGTACTATGATAAAGTATGCTGAACTGTTGTCTGGTATTTCCTCAAGACTTTTTATTTTTCTTTATGTGTGTTGCCTTACACACCACAGGGGACTTGGCACATATTCCCAACCATTGGTGTATATATATGTAATAAAGTGATGAACCTTTGGTTGAGTATTCTGGCCAAGTCCCAGTATTACACACATAGGATAAAGTTGTAATTGTTCATTACAGTCCTTAATTCAGATTAAAGTGAGGTTATGTATTTATTAGATCTGTATTTATAACCAATAAACAGTTCAATTTAAACGGTTATTGCTCAATTAAATTTATCTGTGAAAGATTGATGATGTTTTGTTAGTTTTTTTCCCACTGTCATCAGATGGTGGGATATTCAAATTACCCTTCGTCTGTGGTCTGTTTACCTGTACTTGCACAATTCTTGTTTTTCACTATTTCTTGAAAAGTTGTGGACGGATTATTCTCATATTTCATTTGTTGATTCCAAATTGTCTCGTAGTGTGCATGGTCTATTTTCGGACCGGTCTGACAAAATGGCTTACACATGGCCATCTTGAATTTTGCCATGTATACTGCAAACATACTTAATACATTGCAATCAAATTTTAGCACATGAAAATTGATCACTTTATGTTCTTTTCATGCAATGAAGAAATTGCAAATCAGTGGTAATTTTCATACATGAAAATTTTCCTGAAGTGACTTTTAGCACCATAAAATACTTTCAGTGGGATAAAGACAAAAATTAGGTTACCACAAAATACATAATGTATGTACATTTACAGTGGTTTGTTTTAAGTATTTCTTGAGAAGATTATCAAATTTCATGAGGGTTTCCCCATAGTCCCTAGTCATGCACATTTGAATGTGGGACTGATTGAAAAAGGAAAAAAGGAAATGAATCCACCAAAGTATGGTAGGTACGGATTCCTCTGGAATTTCCTGTAAATATGAAAGACAGCTTTAGTCTTGAACTGAATACTGTTTATAAAAACAATTAGTTTCAACTTTTCTTCAGGGAATGCTGATGAGATATCATAAATATCATCAGCTAGAGGTAAGAAACAGTTTCTACTCTCAACAAAGAGCTCACCACCAACAAGAGGATTCAGGAGCAAGGCCATAAAGGGTCATTGAGTGCAAAACGTTTTCACTTTTTGTAAGAAATTGCTCATATTGTTAATCATAGATTGTTATTTATGTGGTGATAACCATCAGTTACTATCTTCAAATGATTTCTGTATATTGGGCTAGTCTTAAAAAATGCTACATAACAAATGTGTGATACAGGACCATTGGGCCTCTTGCATAGAAAGGTGTATATAGTTCTGTGCTGTTTTAATGTTTATAAGGCCTAGTGCCCTTGTGGTGGGATGTTTTGTCAGCTTAATCTGTACACATTGTTAAGGTGTACAATGTTTCTTGAATACAAGTCTGTTGTAGGTTAGTCATTTACTTTTATTTCGCTTCTCCACAGCTTTAGATATGTTGCATATCCACTTTGTAGGATATTTTAAACCACAGACAGCCATTATATTGGTAGAAACTGCAATGTAAGCATAACTCTTTCCAGTAGTGTTCAGTTAGACTGGTGAAGTCATCTATCAGTAGCGTTAGTCTGTAACACATGGCATTATATCATTTGTCCTTGGTATTTCCCTGCATTCTTACCATACAATCATTACCTCAGCCAGACCTGACTGCCTCTACACAGTACTCTCATCAAGGACAATGAACAGGAATTGTTGTGAAAATGTTTTATCAGTCAGTCGTTTTAAATCTTAAAAAGTTACAATGGAAATATTTATGGAACAGAACCAAGAGAGATGGATCTCAAAAATAAAAAATCCACAAAAATAAAATATCTATAGTACACCCTGGTAAATACACTTGACTTACAGCACCACACTCAAATAGAGAATAGACTTCCTTTAAACAGTTAAAGGTAATGTCAAGACATTCCAGATGCCTAGCAAGAGCAGGTAGAGAGAAAAAAGATCAAGGTCCCAGGTGTTGTTTGTGGTAGGGAGAAGGTGATATTGTTTAGCAAGTGCAAGTGTCAGGTGTTGACTGGGAGAACAGAACAATGTTCCTTTAGCACATCAAACTAAAACTGATAACTTGGTTCTTTTCTGCATAATCTTTTTCAACTGAATTAGATATTTCTCTCATTTTTCACAGAATATATGTCCGATGATGAAAGCTGCACCCTTTGTTACCTTAAGTGTTTTTAAACATTCAACATAGAACTAAGATACCTTGATCTTCCAAACACTCTAGTAAAGCATCACTTTCCTGTTTAACTTAGTGGGATGTGAAATAGTATAGCATCACTTTCCTGTTTAAGTTTGATTTTAACTCAGTGGAATGTGAAATATGGCCACCACTGGATATTTCTTTAATTGATACGTACACCTGTCTTAATTGACACTGTAGATCTAAGCTAACAGTCAAATGGGCAACACTTTCACTTCTGTGAAATCTTTCTTTGTTTTGGTATTAAACCTATATAGTGATATAAATCTAGTCAGCAAGTTTATTTATATTTCCTGTTTGAACCAAAGTTAATGTTTATCGTTGTTTTACGTCTTTTTAACAGCTATGGTTATTTGTGGAGAAAAGCTGGAGTTCCCTGAAGGGTATTGCAATAGGTCATCATGGGACTTTGTCTCCAGTGACCTAAAAATTTGTGACAAGTCTCATGACCCCCATGTAAGAAAAAAATGAATGTAAGATTTTGTTTATAAGATGATTTTGATATTTTTTCTATCACTTTTGAAAATTACACTTTATTAGATTGACACAAAGTGTTCACTGACAATATTCTCACTTTCATCTGCTTCTTTGGTGACTTCCGAATGCCTATGATACCGTGAAGTTACAAAACAAAACAAAATACACTATGTTATGGGGTGTTTTCACACTGACAACAGGTTAGTTAGGCGAGTTATTCCAGTAAACATCTTTCCCACTCCAGGACTTTGATTCCGTTTAAAAGTACCATCAAATTAGATTTAAAGTAATAGACTGGAAACCCTACCATGGATAACAGTGACTGGAGTCCTGGGGTCAAGTGGATGTTTTTTTTCTTGAATAGCTTCAATGTGTTTTCATGAAAATGAAGAATTCCTCCTTTCATGTTAGTGACATGTATTCAGCAGTTCAGTAGTGTGAGTATCGCAATGCCTGTTCTCATTGCATGAAGATAGGAATGAGTCAATGTTTAACCGCAACATGCATGGAACAAAAAAAAAATATTGAAGTTAAAAAATCAGCTGAATGTATATGTAGTAACAAACAATGTTTCAGTCAGAATTGTTTAATTTATTTAAATAAATGTAACAAGCTTGAAATCTTTATGATATACAGCTACAACTACAATATAATTGAATTCCGCTACCAAATTCAGCTAAGCCGAGTATTAAAATAACAAAAATGCCCATTATAAATCAGACATGTTCAATGAATTGTTGCTAGCCTTTTGATCTAGAGATTCCATTAATCCTGAACTAAACAGAAATTACCTTGGAGTCAAGAGGTTGTGACTAGTATTTTACAAACCATACTGAAGTATGAAAATATATCAAAATAATGAGTATTAATGAGTGTGTCCTTGTCCGTGATCACTCCTGAGCAGGGTATAAAAATAGTGTATCAAAGATGCAAAAAAAGCAAGCTTCCTTTAGACCATGACTAATGATAAACTGTCACCTCACTATGTGCTCTTTACTATAAACCTCTGTACAATATAAAGAATCCTTAGAAGCTTCACAATCTACTTGTTGTTCTAAAACCTTAGTTTTGGTGCCAATAATGGGTCCCATTCCCACCTGAAATTGTTTCATATTTGGGTCGAATTCCTAAAATTTGCAATTTACTATCAAAAATTTCCTTTTTGTAATGAAGTGATAAGGCTTTGTCCCAAATCATTTGAAAAAAACTGGTTTCACTCAATTCCATCCAATCACGAGAAACTGAAAATCCAAAACTTTAATGAGGAATTTTACAATAATTACAGCTGCCAATGTTGAGTATGTTGTACTCTACAAGTCTATCTTATAAAACATGGGAAATATAAATAAAAGGCAAAAACATGTGCATATATATGTTATATATATATAAGAGGGAAATTGGGAGATTAGTTTTAGTAATATTTTAGTTTAATCAATGTGGTAGTAATTAATTAAAATTAAGGAAAAAAAAAATTGAAATACTAAATATTAAATTGAGACACTAATGATACTTTATAAAGTCAGATAATTCAAGTAAATGAGGTATACATGTAGTCACATACACAACACTGCACTTAGCATAATCTCTTATAAAAATAGTAATTAATGGAAATCTGGTTTTGCAGGATAATTACAACCAAAATGCTGAATTACAACTTTAGCAGCATACGCACCACATCGCATGCATTCCTCCAGAGGTTTGTTCATAACTAATTGGGATAGAAACCCTCCCACAAATGCATCGCCACAACCATTAGTGTCTTTAATAAGGCTACGTTCTGCAGGTACAACCGGAAACACAGTTACCTCCCCATTATGGTAGGTTACAGTTGCCTCCTTTCCCTGAGTAAATATAATTGTACGCTGTTTGTTTTTGTTTACTTTGGGTAGATTTGCTGTTAACTTTGCAATGTCTTTCAAGTCGGAAGATTCAAATCCTTGACACTTGGCAAATTCTGCAGCTTCATCAGAATTACCAAACAGTACATCAACATATTGCATCAAGTTCAGTTCTGGGTCAGCAAAGTATTTACATAGGAAAGTAGCATGAAGATTCATTACAACCGTTTTCCCATTTTCAGCTGCATGTTTAGCTACAGCCAAAACAGCTTCTGAACTGACTGGAACTATGAATCCTCCAATGTAGTACATTTGTGCTTTCTCCACTAATTTCCAATTGTCTTTCTCTTTGAGAAAATCTGCAGTAAATAACTCGGCTGCTCCCAGGTCGGTTATGAGGGATCTGTCTTCTCCGGTGATCACTGCTGCACATTTACCAGTTGCTTTCTCCGAATGAACTTCATACTGAACACTCACACCAACCTCTTCAGCTTTCTTTGCTAAAATATCCTTAAATACATCATCACCTACTCCTCCAAAAAAAGTTGTGGCATTAGGCACCTGCAGTAACCACTGTGCCACACGAATGGTATTTTGTGTTGCACCCCCAGCTAAATAAATTGGCTTATAATTTTTTACTAGGTCATCGAAGAGGGGCATGTGTTGTGGTTCAGCGATAATGGCATTGTTGGCTAGCAATTTGTACTTGTTTAGCAGACCCTGGTCGGCCTCAACTGTAATATCCAGAAGAGGGTTGCCTATCCCTAACAATACATCCTCAGCACAGCCATCAGACGACATCTGAAAGAACACACAGAACAGTAAAAAATATGACTAACTCAAAATAGATTAATCTATATCTTTGGTCACAGTGTGAATAGTACTATTATGTTAGCAAATTTATACGACTCAATTTTATATTCCCATCAATGACTGGTCTTATTATGGTGCACCCTGTACTGTCCATCTGTTAACTTTCCATAATAGCACTCTCTTACCTTTATACCATATACTGATTTCATGAAACTTGTTCCAAATATTCTATACCTAAATAGCTTGAAAGTGTTTGTGTCACAGAATTTTCTGGAGTTATGCCCCTTTTATTGTTTAATGTTTGTTCGGTGTAGAAAAGGCAAGAACTTTTAAATTCTCTGTTTAATTCTTTTCAAATTTGTTATGGTGATAAAAGAAGCAAAGGGATTTGACACTTATAATGGGTTTTTCTTGTGACCTTGTACTTTCAGAGTAATGCCCCCTCTTATATCCAAATATAGGCATCGTATAAATATGCAAAACATGTTCAATTCTTTATTATATTCCATTCCACTTTAGCATAATGATACCAGAAGCAAAGATATCATATGGGTTCCTCACATAAATGTGTATTTATAGAGTTATACCATGTAACTAAAGCTGAGTGCCAAGTAAAACATTCCTGAGATTCACATTGGAATATGAAATAGCATCCTTAAAGATAACTGCACACATGTAGTTGCAATGGGATATTTCCCTTTATATAGAGGTTACTGACTACACTCAATATCATTACATTTACGTTGTTGTGAAGGGCATATTGTGTTCCCACTTGTGGTACTTTTATTAACTATTGTTCAGAATTTACCCCATTCAAAAAACTGGACTTTTTTGGCTATATATATGTAAAGCAAATGGTGAGATGTCCATTACACTGGTGTCTATCTTTCAAACTACTAAAACTTTGGCTGACTATACCATTAATTATTTAACAAGTAAAATCTAATTCCTTTATTAAATCAATATTTTTGCCTTTTCCTATTATTCCACATACAACTACATAATTTTGATCAATTAGGATACTATTTAGGCCTACGTTTCAGGTCTATGTAATGGCTAAGCTAACAATGCTGACTACAAATATGTTCTATCTAATAGGAGCCAATAATGGTATATATTCATACATCAATATTTTGTCAATTTATATACATTGTTCATATTTATTAGGTTTCATCTATAAATTTAATGTACCAACTCTATGCTGCCCCATGGGTGATAACATGAGGCTAAATCTAGTGGAAATCTGAGAATGAATTCACATGTGTAAGCACTTGGCTAACGCCCACATTTCCTGACTTGACCGGATGAATGGACGGACAACGGAGCGCCACGGTTCAAAACCTCCTTGTCGGGATGCTTTTGACCAGGTGAACGTCATAAGTAAAATGATATCATTGAATGTAATGGGCCCGGTGTAACAAATGAAAACGTAATTGCCAGCAAAGTTTTGACAGTTCGGCATTTAGTTATACGCACCTTTCGCACAATTGATCGGATACCTTGTTTCTGTCGAGACTGCAGGTTGATTGGACGTACGACTAAATCGTGTTGAGACGTGAGAAGACTACTGTATCTCTGGCGTTGATTACATAAGTAAACAGATGCTATCAAGATAGGTTTAGTTCGCCTTCGGCATCCCAACTTTACACAAGTCCACACCAGTCGACTAGTCAAACCTGCCACAGCCATGCCTTATATGTCGGGATGTTGAGCCAAAATTTGGGGTCACACCGGCGAACTATGGAAGGCCTGCAAAACTCCGAAAATTTTCAAACATGACTTATCTTATAAACTCGTTCACATACCGATTTCCCAGTTGAAGCATAAAATTTGTGTATGAAAAGTAATTGCAATTGTTTTCGCTATAGGTAAATGCAAGTTACAGACAAATAACAGATATGCCAGGAATGCGTGTGTGCGGTGTGTACAAAAACAGTACCCCTTATAAATATACCCGCCGTTCTGCAAGCATCACACACGGTAAGCTAAGCCACAATGGACTTGGTTAAGATCGAAGTCATTGATTATAACTTAAGAATTTAAAACTAGATTAAATAAGTCTACATTTTGTACAGTTACGATATTTAATGAATTGTAATAAAATAATGTATATCTGACAGAATCCTAAGGGGTCTCAGCCTATGCATCGGCGAATCTGCGACACGGCGCTTGTAAACGTTTCTCGTCAGATATAACGAACCTCAAACATTGGTGGAGAAATCAAATTCTGAGTGGGTCATCGTTTTGTATTAATTATGATATCTCGAAATCTACTGACTCGAATACACGATATTAATAATAAATACGTATAGATATCCGAAATTACTGAGATCAATAATTTGAATTAATGACATCACGGATTCTAAGTCCCTGATGACATCAATGCAATGATGGTCGGTATCATTTGCTTGCATGAATTCATTTACTGATAACATTTATTGGAATCAATGGTATCATATTTTGCAGATAAATTTGAAAACCTAATGCAGCCATGCAATCAAGTTGTTAAGTCTTTTTTTTTCAGTCATATGTAACATTTTGTCGCAGAATGCAATTTTGGAAATTTGTCAGTATTCGCATTAGAATCGTTCAAAAATGGGGGCGCGATGCTGTTTGCAAATAGTTCTTGTTTCTGAGTTGATTTTAAAGAAATATATTGAAATGCATATTTTAAACGTAGTTCAATAAGATTTTCTCCAAACGCGACTTTGTATATCAAAGTAGTTATACGTGAAACTACAGTTAAAACCGTAGTACACGTGTATCCGAATAATGTCGACATTTTAACAGAAACTTATTCTCAAATTCAATGAAATTATGGCAAAATTTGAACAAAAGAGAGGTTAACACGGAGACTCTGAAAAAGTACAGTGGGTGTGTTGTGTGGGTGGATTTGGGTGTGTGTGTGTGTGGGGGGGGGGGGGGGGGGGGGTATGGGGGGTATGACTAAAGAAAACCAAATTGCGAACTGTCATGATCATCTGTTTGCTGATCGACTTGTACTAGCATAAAACTAAAAAAAATATTCCTCCCCAAGCTTAAATTAATTTAACGTCTATATATCTTCCTTCTTTATTTATTTATTCTTTCATTTTTAGATAATATCACTCCCAAAGACTACTTAAGGACATGTGACCAGACGGGAGGTCATGTGAATGATACAGGCCTAATGTGCCTCTTGATCGGTTTTAAGGCCTTTTTGGTAGCGTGTTGTCAAAGAGTTACTCCCCTTCATACGTTTGTAAGTTTGTAATGTATTGAAGTTAATGATATGATTTGATATGTTAAAGTCCAAAAAGACAAGGAAACAAGGAAGACCCTCCCACAGAAAATGTTCCAAGTTGAAACCTGGAAGGAGGGCATTGTCCTTGTTGTCGTCATAACTTCAAACACTCCTCCGAAAGACTGTTCAAAAGAAACACAAGTAAATAGCACATTCTGTAGAGGCAGTTTTTTCGCCCTTCAAGTACTCGTCAGTGATGCTAAAGGCCTAAATTTTGAAGTCGAAGAAATTAAAGATTGGGATTATCGAAATAGAATTAGATGAGATCCGCCTTTATCAGCAAAAAATAGTGATCTCAGAGTTGTGTTGAGTCTTGTGTAGAGAGCATATACTGTCGATAAACTTAATTTAATTACGTTTTTACCAGTAAATATAGAGAAGTATGAAATTGCAAATGCTACTTTTTTTCACCGCCATTAAAACTAGTACACTTTTTCCTGACTTGAAACAATGAAAACAGAACACACAATAGACCAGTCCTTCACAAAGGTAAACGTAATATAGAGTAACAAATGAAAAGTGTATTTTACCTGCATGATTCACATCAGAATATCTTTAAGTTGACTTCGCACTCGTGATAGATACCAAACTACTAGTCAAGCGCTAGGGATTATTGAACAATAATAAGAATAATGCTGTTTCTACGAAAGCTTAGAATGGTAAAATTTTGAAGGTAATAAATATGAAGTCGCGTTATTACGCGAATAATAGCGTAATAACGCCTTTCAAAAGTCGTAATAACGCGATTTTATATTTTTTCCTGCGAAATTTGACATTTCTAGGCTTTCGCAGTTTTCTTCCAAACCAAATGAAGTTTAAATTTATATTTAAGACCACAACAATCAATTCAGAGATATTGTATTGATGGTTCAAGGAACAAAAATCAACAAGTTGTATGAAATAGGGTTGGTTGTCCCAGAACTAGCGAGAACGGATAACACGATGAAGATTTCACGAAATAATCTTCTTTATTCAAGTTGGAAACTATATACTGAATAGATTTGTAGTACAACCGGTTGGAAAATAAGTGTGTGACGTTTCATCAGACGAATGTCGACAGGACTTTCGGCGATATCATGATTCGTTGTATACTTAGTTAGAAACCCAGAATTGTTGTGCCGTTCTATTGACAAAATTGTGCCAACTGTTGCTGGAATCGAAGACAATGCAGCATCTGCTGTGGAGGGGGCAAAAGTGCGACCAAAATATTATCAGAGATATTTGAAAGACGAATTAGATGCAAAATTGCATTTTTTTTATCTTATACTAACATAATTTACATAATATAATTTGATTAAAACATTTTAGTGTTAATTTAATTAGAATATAACCTTATTAGGTACCTAGTAATGGAATTATCTAAATTTCTCGTGATTTATTTTTTATTGAAATCATTGAAGAACAAACAGAAAGTCCAAGTTAAGATCTACACTTTAATGTTATTATAAGATAGTTTTATGACTTCTGACGTCCTGTCGACAATGTGGTTATTTAAGGACGGTTGTGAGGCAAATGACTCCTTAATTTACTCATAGCTTTAGCTTCCAAATAAACGATGTGTCAGATAGGGCCTACAAACTATATACAGAAATCTGCTGCCCGAAACACACTCCCTTACACGCTTGGCCTTGGACTATTTTTCCTACACCAATGTTAATTTTTGACCCTACAGGAATGCTTCTTCAAGACCCACGGAACGACTGTTCGTCACAGCTGTGATGATAGCCCGAACGAGTTATCTGTCAGGAAGGTAACCGCACTCCGAGTTAATTAGAGAATCAATAAAATGGAATTTTATCAACGGTTATCATATACATGCTGGCAGCGATTTGCATATGTCTGTGATATAGATGTGTTTTTTTAATATAAAACATGTAAAAATCAGTGTCGCTAATATACTGAGATGGTAGCTTACAGATAACTGGTTCATATCAGGTATGTGTATCTGTAGATGTTTGCATAACTCATGCTTTTCAGCGGAAATGTAGTTTACATTTATGAATAAATAATATTTCTGTACGAAAAATAAAAAATAGTAATGCCGTGTATAGAAGATATACGGAGGATCCGGCTTGAGTGACCATGTCATGCTGACTACATGGATACAGTTTTTTAGGTTAGTATCGTATAAGACGAGTTAAATCAATTTGATACGACATAGGACGAGAGTCATATTCATTTTCATACAAAACAATCCATTTCCTTACAAGTAAAATAGAACCCTAATTCGTTTCTTCAAAAGACATTCGAATTTCTTACAAAAGTTTTGTTGTCTAGCGTACAGTCCTGTAAATGTTATGTTGTCTAGCGTACAGTCCTAAAAATGTTATGTTGTCTAGCGTACAGTCCTAAAATGTTATGTTGTCTAGCGTACAGTCCTATAAATGTTATGCTGTCTAGCGTACAATCCTACATATGTTATGTTGTCGTACAGTCCTATAAATGTTATGTTGTCTAGCGTACAGTCCTACAAATGTCATGTTTTCTAGCGAACAGTCCTATAAATGTTATGTTGTCTACCTTACAGTCCTATCAATGTTATGTTGTCTAGCGTACAGTCCTACAAATGTTATGTTGTCAAGTATACAGTCCTATAAATGTTATGTTGTCGTACAGTCCTACAAATGTTATGTTGTCGTACAGTCCTACAAATGATATGTTGTCAAGTATACAGTCCTATAAATGTTATGTTGTCGTACAGTCCTACAAATGTTATGTTGTCGTACAGTCCTACAAATGATATGTTGTCTACCGTACAGTCCTACATATGTTATGTTGTCTAGCGTACAGTCCTACAAATGTTATGTTGTCTATCGTACAATCCTACATATGTTATGTTGTCTAGCGTACAGTCCTACATATGTTATGTTGTCTAGCGTACAGTCCTACAAATGTTATGTTGTCTACCGTACAGTCCTACAAATGTTATGTTGTCTACCGTACAGTCCTACAGATGTTATATTGTCTAGCGTACAGTCCTACAAATGTTATGTTGTCTACCGTACAGTCCTACAGATGTTATGTTGTCTAGCGTACAGTCCTACAAATGTTATGTTGTCTACCGTACAGTCCTACAGATGTTATGTTGTCTAGCGTACAGTCCTACAAATGTTATGTTGTCTAGCGTACAGTCCTACAAATGTTATGTTGTCTACCGTACAGTCCTACAAATGTTATGTTGTCTACCGTACAGTCCTACAGATGTTATATTGTCTAGCGTACAGTCCTACAAATGTTATGTTGTCTACCGTACAGTCCTACAGATGTTGTCTACCGTACAGTCCTACAGATGTTATATTGTCTAGCGTACAGTCCTACAAATGTTATGTTGTCTAGCGTACAGTCCTACAAATGTTATGTTGTCTAGCGTACAGTCCTACAAATGTTATGTTGTCTACCGTACAGTCCTACAAATGTTATGTTGTCTACCGTACAGTCCTACAGATGTTATGTTGTCTAGCGTACAGTCCTACAAATGTTATGTTGTCTAGCGTACAGTCCTACAAAT